GAGAGTTGTACAAGGTTTTAATGAAACTGGTAGTTTTTCGAGACGAAGAGAATCTGGCAGACGACGTTCTACAAATGTTCGAGATGATCGTTTTATAACTGTCATGGCTCGAAATCGTTTAGAAGAAGTACGTCAAGTAGCTGTTAACGAAATAACGATTCGAAGGCGATTACGAGAACATGGATTACGCTCCAGAAGACCTGCAACTGGTCCAGAGTTACTTAGGAATCACAGAACAGCACGTCTTCGATTTGCCAGAGAGCATCAACATTGGAATATCGATGAATAGAGTAAGATTTTATTTTCTGACGAGTCAAGGTTTTGTTTACGTTCTCCTGATGGCCGTGAAAGAATATACCGAAGCAGGCAAATTTTTCCACAAGACTCAGTTATGAAGGAGGATCGGTAATGGTTTGGGGGGGCATAAGCATGGAAGCTCGTACTGATTTAGTCATTGTTGGCGGCGGAGCAATGACATCTTACCGATATATTCGTGATGTGCTAGATCCATATGTAATTCTATTTGCACCATTTATAGCAAATTAATTCATGTTTATGCATGACAACGCTCGACCACATATTGCGAGGATTGTATCTCAATATTTGGACGAAACAGAAATTCAAAGGATGAACTGGCCATCACGTAGCCCAGACCTCAATCCAATTGAGCACGTCTGGGACATGATGGGCAGACGAGTTCATAACCGAATTCCTTCTCCAAGTATTTTAAATTTTTTGAGAGATGCTTTGGTCCAAGAATGGGATCAGATTGACCAGATGAAGATTCGATATCTAATAGAGGGTATGCCATGATGCATTGAGGCAGTTATTCGAGCTCGTGGGGAAAAAACCCGTTATTAATTTGTAATAATTATTAGTTTATTTGTTGTTTGAGTTGTTTATAAAATTATGTATTACTCTGCTAAAACTGAATAAAAAAATTAAGAATGTTGCATTTTATTTAAACCGTCACATTTCACAAACAAATTAAGATATCGGGGTAAATAAAAAAAACAAAATGTTGGAAACAAATCAGTCTTCTCGATGAAGTTAATTGTGTGCAGATCTGCTATTAGAATTAACCTACAGGGTGTTTCAAAAGTAGAGGAAAAAATTGTTTTCTTTTCCCCCCTGTATATCCGGCGAGTACTAAATTACTTTTAGATGTTCGAATAATAATGTTAAAACTACAGTATTTTATCTAAATCTAAATCAGCCTCCGCATTTGAAAGTTAGAGCATTTTTAAATAAATCATTATTTTGAATGGATCGAATTTTAAGTCGGTGAGTGTAGTCTATGCGCAAAAATAATAAACACCGCTGGATTTATGTTTTGGGTACTTCTCAGGTAATTTTAGGTTAGGTTTGCAAACTGGTTGTGTTAATGCACTTGAAACTGGAGAATCAACCATATAAGGTCGATAGATACTTAAAATAGTTCCAACGAACATGTAAAAGATATTAGCAGGAGGCCGGCGATAACTTGCTTAGGTGGTGATTTTAGTGGGTAAAGGGTAAAACTATTGGGAAAGGGAGAACCTGTACCGAATCTCTATAAGGGATTTCCACATATCAAAAATATATCAAGAAGTTACTTCATCGAAAACTATTTTTTGAGCCAGTGTATCTAAAAATATACACAATCAAAAACTAAAAAGAAAATAATTTTAAAATGGAATGAATTATTTTATCACATACAAAACAACAAAAGAAATCACATTGGATTAAAAAACAATAAGAAATCGTAGAATTTGAGGGTCGGCTTTGGCGCTGAACGTGTTAAATGTTTAGGATGTAATAAGATGCTTAATTTAAAAATGTATCTATATACTTGCTGGATGTTATAAGAATGGCAGTTTTTCTGTAGAAATGGTATACTGTGACGTAACAACTGGATGTCACAAGATGCAAGGTTTTTCTGGATGTCACAAAGTGTTGTTAATAAAAATATATACCGTGTATATTTTGGATCTCACAACGATAGGACGTTTTATTTTTTTAAAATGTGTATGGTTGTGATATTTTTCGCTCAGCCTTAATATTTTTTTAATTAAAAGAAGTCATATTTTTATTTTTTTCCTAAAGTCTTTGCAAAGGGTGGATGTCACAAAGTCAAAATTTTTGCTGGATGTCACATGATACGCTGGTCGAGTATATATATATATATATATATATATATATATATATATATATATATATATATATATATATATATATATATATATATATACTCGACCAGCGTATCATGTGACATCCGGCAAAAATTTTGACTTTGTGACATCCACCCTTTGCAAAGACTTTAGGGAAAAAATAAAAATATGACTTCTTTTAATTAAAAAAATATTATGGCTGAGCGAAAAATATCACAACCATACACATTTTAAAAAAATAAAACGTCCTATCGTTGTGAGATCCAAAGTATACACGGTATATATTTTTATTAACAGCACTTTGTGACATCCAGAAAAACCTTGCATCTTGTGACATCCAGTTGTTACGTCAGAGTATACCATTTCTACAAGAAAATTGCTATTCTTGTAACATCCAGCAAATATATAAATACATTTTTGAATTAGGCACCTTATTACATCCTAAAAACTTAACACGTTTAACGCCAAAGCACACCCTCAAATTCTATGATTTTAATTGTTTTTTTATTCCAATGTGATTTCTTTAGTTGTTTTGATAAAATAATTTATTTCATTTTTAAATACTGAGGCCCTTCCTATGGGGTCTCAGTATTGCATTCGTGCAGACGAAAACATTTTCTTACCCCAATTTTTAAAACTTTGTTTTATTTTTCCGTTCATTCTCATTCTCTAACGACCTGTCAAACAACAGCTGTTGATAGTAAAAGTGAAATTTCTAAGGCAGGTTGCGACCTTCATATTTGCAACTATAGCCATTTTGGAGGCTATTTTTATTCAAAATTAGTCGCCAAGCCTGCCAATTATGAAAAATATATAAGCAGTTTCTTAAAAATTACTTTTTTATGGTGGTGCTAACTTAAGCGTACTACTATTTCGCCCCTAGCCACAAAAACACATTCATCAAATTTATTGGTAACCCCAATAATTAACCGGCCATTTTAATTGGCAAAAATCAGAATAATGCTTGGCTTTGCCTGTCAGGTATCAAGATGTCAACTGGGATGTGGGAATGGCTCTTAAATGTAAAATTATTTAAAAATGTATGCTTCTTTTGATATTTATTGCAAATAATTTGTAGTGTATCTCAATTAAAGCTTTCCATAAATAAATGTGCAGCAAGACAGATATTATAATGTTCTTATACAAAGCACTTTTTTTATTATATAAAAGAGAGGTGGGATATAATGCTGGTTTACATATTCAACCAGCGAATTATAAATAATAATTAGTAAACTTCTTGAGATTACTTTTGAATACATTTATTGTTGTTTTTTTTTTTAATTTCTGTAGACAGTCAATTAAATTTTTTAAACCTTTAATAAAAATTATATTTTAGAAACTATTAGTGATGGCTGCCGTACATGAAAGTCAGATTGGCTTCTTGTATTATAGTTGTGATATTGTGAATTATATTGAATTTTGAACTGAAAGCCAATTTATTTCTTTTAACATAGTTGCAATACTCATCTTTCTGTCCTTTATGTCCCTTATTAGAATATAAATAGGCAAAATAAGGAGCCCAAATATTTTACATAAGCAGGCTTAAGACGTAAAAGTGCCAATTATTATTGGAAAAATTGCTCGAATAAGTTTTTAAACCCTAATCAAAAGGCGATATAGAATGGTTTTAAAAATCAAGGCTTGTGAAAATTATCACATGGATAAACCTAAGTAATGCCAACGTTTCATAAAACAAAAAATTCAACGTCCTAATACTACTATAGGCTTTCGGTCTGTCGTTCCAAGTTAAATCATTTCTCGTTTTTGTTACGCTACGAGTTTACCCTTGTGGGCCTCAGTCTCGATAAGGTGGCAACCACCATTGTAGCGTCTCTCGAATTTTCTTTTCAGTGTTTGATTGTGTATATTTTTAGATACACTGGCCCAAAATAGTATATTATTAAACGAGCAATTTATGGTAGCCATTATTCACGCAGGGTGACGTTTGCGTCCCGAGCCGTAGGCGAGTCTAATACTATACTTTGTACCATTATACCATTATGGTTTCTTTATTAAATAAAAGTTAAGTGTAGAATGGAAAGTTTTTATTAAACATTGGTAACTAACTGTTGTTTTTTCAACTTTTCAATTTTCCAATTTTTCGAATGTCTGATTTTTCGATTTTCCGATTTTCCGATTTTTCAATTTTTCGGTTTTTCGATTTTTTGACTTTTCAATTTTCCAATTTTTCGAATATCTGATTTTTCGATCTAGAAAATATCGTTATGAAAAGTATCGCCCATCTTTAGTGATCTACCGGAAATTGCCAGAATTAGAAAAGAGTGAATTATCATAATTCACTCTAGTGATATATGGGTACCATATGCTTTTAGTTAGGAGGTAGAATATTGATTTATTATTAAGTGGTCGTGGACAAATTAGTTTCCGATTGAAGTAACTTTTTAATCTTTTTTTTGGTATGTGGATATCCCTTATAGAGATTGAGTACAGGTTCTCCCTTTTCCAATAGTTTGGGACTCCCGGATCATTAGTGCAAGTCAGGCTTATCATTTACCCACTAAACGCACCCCTGAGCAGGTAATATCTTTTACTTGTCCATTGGGACTACTTTATTAATTTTTTTGAGTATCTATCGACCTCGTATGGTTGATTCTCCGGTCTCAAGTGCATTAACACGGCCAGTTGGCGAACCTAAAGATAAATCCAGCGGTGTTTATTATTTTTGCTCACAGACTATTTTACTACAAACATTTTTGTCCACGACTGTTCTATAAAAAATTCATTAAACTTGTAATTCCTTAAGAATAATAATACCTATTATTCACTAGTGAATAATGATCCATTAGTCACGGTATGACGTCACGACAGCACACGTATGTATAAACTGATATGAAAATATTATTAATAGGTAATCGAAAAATCGAAAAAAAAAATCGAAAAAAATCGAAAAATCGAAAAAAATCGAAAAATCGAAAAATCGAAAAAATCGAAAAATCCAAAAATCGAAAAAAAAAAAATGAAAAATTGAAAAAAAAATCAAAAAATCGAAAAGATGAAACTGCATTGTGTTTCTTATTAATGCCTTAATAGATTATGGTAAGTTGTAGAGAATACATGTGCCAAATTTTAATAACATAATAGCGGTTGGTAAGTTATGAAACAAGAAAGAAATTGGCAAAGTTAATAAAACTACCTCTATCTCGGTTATAAATGGCGAAAGAACCATTAAGTAAGATTATTTGGAATCATATCAGAAGCATAAAAAACTAAGTATTAAAAAAAGAGTGAAACTTCTTAGATTAATTCACTCTAAAATAAAAAAGAAATAAAATCCGCGTACATCAATATTTATCGCACAGCTACTTAAATATACTATTAAGGTTATAACTTTAAACGAAAGGGCACCGACGATGCACGAACGACGATCGTTTGCAGTCGTTTTTATGAATTAGCTCATCATATTTTTTATGTATTAACTTTGATTTATTTAAATTTATATAAATTTATTTAAATTTATTTAAATTTATTTAAATTTATTCAAATTTATTTAAATTTATTCAAATTTATTTAAATTTATTTAAATTTATTTAAATTTATTTAAATTTATTTAAATTTATTTAAATTTATTTAAATTTATTTAAATTTATTTAAATTTATTTAAATTTATTTAAATTTATTTAAATTTATTTAAATTTATTTAAATTTATTTAAATTTATTTAAATTTATTTAAATTTATTTAAATTTATTTAAATTTATTTAAATTTATTTAAATTTATTTAAATTTATTTAAATTTATTTATTTAAATTTATTTAAATTTATTTAAATTTATTTAAATTTATTTAAATTTATTTAAATTTATTTAAATTTATTTAAATTTATTTAAATTTATTTAAATTTATTTAAATTTATTTAAATTTATTTAAATTTATTTAAATTTATTTAAATTTATTTAAATTTATTTAAATTTATTTAAATTTATTTAAATTTATTTAAATTTATTTAAATTTATTTAAATTTATTTAAATTTATTTAAATTTATTTAAATTTATTTAAATTTATTTAAATTTATTTAAATTTATTTAAATTTATTTAAATTTATTTAAATTTATTTAAATTTATTTAAATTTATTTAAATTTATTTAAATTTATTTAAATTTATTTAAATTTATTTAAATTTTATTTAAATTTATTTAAATTTATTTAAATTTATTTAAATTTATTTAAATTTATTTAAATTTATTTAAATTTATTTAAATTTATTTAAATTTATTTAAATTATTTAAATTTATTTAAATTTATTTAAATTTATTTAAATTTATTTAAATTTATTTAAATTTATTTAAATTTATTTAAATTTATTTAAATTTATTTAAATTTATTTAAATTTATTTAAATTTATTTAAATTTATTTAAATTTATTTAAATTTATTTAAATTTATTTAAATTTATTTAAATTTATTTAAATTTATTTAAATTTAAATTTATTTTAATTTATTTTAATTTATTTTAATTTATTTTAATTTATTTTAATTTATTTTAATTTATTTTAATTTATTTTAATTTATTTTAATTTATTTTAATTTATTTTAATTTATTTTAATTTATTTTAATTTATTTTAATTTATTTTAATTTATTTTAATTTATTTTAATTTATTTTAATTTATTTTAATTTATTTTAATTTATTTTAATTTATTTTAATTTATTTTAATTTATTTTAATTTATTTTAATTTATTTTAATTTATTTTAATTTATTTTAATTTATTTTAATTTATTTTAATTTATTTTAATTTATTTTAATTTATTTTAATTTATTTTAATTTATTTTAATTTATTTTAATTTATTTTAATTTATTTTAATTTATTTTAATTTATTTTAATTTATTTTAATTTATTTTAATTTATTTTAATTTATTTTAATTTATTTTAATTTATTTTAATTTATTTAAATTTATTTAAATTTATTTAAATTTATTTAAATTTATTTTAATTTATTTTAATTTATTTTAATTTATTTTAATTTATTTTAATTTATTTTAATTTATTTTAATTTATTTTAATTTATTTTAATTTATTTTAATTTATTTTAATTTATTTTAATTTATTTTAATTTATTTTAATTTATTTTAATTTATTTTAATTTATTTTAATTTATTTTAATTTATTTTAATTTATTTTAATTTATTTTAATTTATTTTAATTTATTTTAATTTATTTTAATTTATTTTAATTTATTTTAATTTATTTTAATTTATTTTAATTTATTTTAATTTATTTTAATTTATTTTAATTTATTTCAATTTATTTTAATTTTAATTTATTTTAATTTTAATTTATTTTAATTTTAATTTATTTTAATTTTAATTTATTTTAATTTTAATTTATTTTAATTTTAATTTATTTTAATTTTAATTTATTTTAATTTTAATTTATTTTAATTTATTTTAATTTATTTTAATTTATTTTAATTTATTTTAATTTATTTTAATTTATTTTAATTTATTTTAATTTATTTTAATTTATTTTAATTTATTTTAATTTATTTTAATTTATTTTAATTTATTTTAATTTATTTTAATTTATTTTAATTTATTTTAATTTATTTTAATTTATTTTAATTTATTTTAATTTATTTTAATTTATTTTAATTTATTTTAATTTATTTTAATTTATTTTAATTTATTTTAATTTATTTTAATTTATTTTAATTTATTTTAATTTATTTTAATTTATTTTAATTTATTTTAATTTATATTAATTTATTTTAATTTATTTTAAATTATTTTAATTTAATTTCATTTGATTTATTTTATTATAAATTACAGTCATCGTCCACTCACCCATTGTTGATACACCTTGTAGTAATATAGCTGTATATATATTTATTAGTCACAGAGAGTAAATGCATTTAAAAAACTTATTGGCTCTATGCGAAACCCAACAAAAATTTTTGGCAGTTAATGTGTTAACATAAAATAGATCTTAAAATGAAAATCCAAATATATCTAAAATAAATTTTTTGGATGTCACATAACCTAGTGTGTAAAGTTATAATATACTCTATGGTGGATGTCAGATAGTCGGGTGAGTAAGTTTTAATATACTGAATGTTGGATGTCAGACAGTCGAGTGAGTAAATTCTAATATACTTAATGGTGGATGTTAGACAGTCGGGGGACTGAAATATTTAATATACAAAATATACAAAACCAACTGACGCGAGCGCCACCTTCACATCTATACACTGGAACTAAATTTATACACAAAATTGAAAATTAGGCATTATGACATCCAGCTGAAATTTGTTTGGCGCCCTTTTAAACCTTTTCTAAGATGTTTGAACCCCAAAAACGTTGTGACATCCGAATTTGGATGTCACATCGCAAACGGATGTCATAAAGATACCAACATTTTTGCGACATGATGTCACAACGTCGGCAGGACGAATCTATATATATATATATATATATATATATATATATATATATATATATATATATATATATATATATATATATATATATATATATATATATATATATATATATATATATATATATATATATATATATATATATATATATATACATATTCGTTATAGAATTATCACTAGAATAGGTTAATTCTTTAAAGACAACTTATTAGACTTAGGCAACTTCTCATACATTTTCCCGTAAATACTGTTGCCTGTCCATATATTTTTATTGATTATATTTAGTTTTTTTTAGTTTAAGCGATAAAAATAGATAATAATAATAAATTAATGTTTCAGATGTTCTACAAATCCATATACTTTTATTAAAACTAACATACATACTTTTTATTTACGATTTCTATTAAAAATTGTATTTTCAGTATTCGCAAAAATATTCTATTGGTACATAAATGAATTTGCTTTGATGTCACGCATAAAAAAATCGTACGGGACATAACATATCAATCAGCTAAAGGATTTGGAACGTACCACTTAGTTCCTAACTTAAGTTGACAATTGACGTGACAGGTGTAAATTGGTTTTGTTGATGTTTTCAATTTTCATTTTTATTAGAAGGTAAGGTGTGTTGATGTGTGCTTGTACTACTTTTTTGTTAACGTAAGTAGTTCATGTTAATTTAATATCTAATTTTTCCCAAATTTAAGAAGTTATTTAAGACTAACCGTTTATTGAACATTTAAATATTTGTTAAATGTTGGTTTAACTCAGTTATATTTGTATTAATTAAATATGAATCACATTACCACACCCATATACAAACTTTCAAAAAGTTTTCAAAATTGAACATTAATGTCTGTATATCAAAATATGTTTAATTTAATTAATTACGAATTAAAATTGTTTCAGATACGTGTTAAATAAATTATTCAAATGATCTGCAATGTCTTCTGTGCTTGATCATAGATACGAATATTTGAACAGTCCATACTTCAAGAAACACGAATACGGCAACTTTACATCCTTTTATATTACAATTACTATCTGTTCGATACTTATCATCACCATAATTTTACTAAACGTAGTCTTGGGCTGCTGTTCCAGACACTCCACTTATTGGCAAGACAGATATACAGGTAAAACCGTTTTAATAGTGTAAAATTAACAATAAACGTTCTTTATTAAGTTACAATACCCAACTGACCATCGACCGAAGTCCTTCAGCCAGTGTAATAACTGATTTTATAATAAAATATTAAGTAATAACAATAAAAATTGTGGAAAATACTAGGGTAACAAGAATATCTAAATTATGCATAGATATTATTTTAAGAATTATTCAATATAAGCACTCATGGTCCTGCATGCCTCCATTTCTGACTAAGCACAAATGCTAACATTTAAAATTAAAGAGAGAGTTAAAAATAATTTTGTTCTTAAAAGATTCTTTAGTGAGGGAAATATTAATGAATTTATAGGAAGAATTAAAGACGTTAACTGGGAATTCATTAAATAAATAGGGAAATGTGATGTTAAGCAATGGGATTATTTTATATGCACCTTTTTACATATTTTCAACATATATTTTCCATTGAGAAAAGTCAGAATTTCTCAAAAAAATGCAGCTTTTACCTGAATTAGAGAAAGCAAATATAATCTTCACAATGAGTAGAGTGGATAAAAGAAGTAAAAAAAGAGTATAATGAGAAACTGATTACTAGAATCAAGAAGGTATATGGGAAACAAATATCAAAATCAGACAGTAAAGGTAGGGCAACATGGCAAATAGTAAGTAATATAAATGGCAAAACTAAACAAAATAGTATACAAATACCAGGGGAAGCTTCGAGGGTAGCAAATAATATATTTCTTGAAAAGTTGATTACTGAGTTAGTCTCTGACCTGAGAAATGGCAACTAAGAACAGTCTCTAGTGACTTCAAATTTATATATGTGCCTTAGGCTCATAGTGAAATCCATCTTTTCATAAAGATCCTAGTCATATCACAAAGCATCTGTATATTGAGTAAAAACATGAAGCTACACAATCTGCTATGAGTTTTGATGAAGAACCCGTAGCAATAAGGCTGTTTTGTGAAGTGTGCATTAAGACAAGGCATATTGTGTTTAAATTACTCTTCTGAGCTTTTTACTGAGACATTACAATATTAGGGTGGGTCAGTATTAATAGAGATTCAAAGAAATGCCACAACTTGAATCAACACTTCCACGCCACTTTAAATTTTTATTGTATAAAATGCTTTATATTGCTAAAAATAAAAACTATTTAAGATCCCTCTTGAATAGGTATGTCCATTAAATTTGAAATCGATAGCTCAAACAGTTCAGGAGTTATGGTGAACACAATTCTTTAACAAAACTTGTTTTTGGACATTTTGGAGCTAGTCTGACAGTTTTAGGCCAATGCAATATTTACCCTTACCTCGTGTGATATGAAAGTAATAGATTAACAATAATGTTGCATGACTTTATATTAGCAATGTCACTATCAATATCCAGCAACTGAAATGGCCATCTATCTGAAACAAATTCAAACCAGTTCTAAAGATTATAGTAAATCTTCTAGTAAGATCTAAATGCATCATATATGGGTATACTGTATGAATAATCTTCTATTCAGATAGGAGGCATAATATTTGCTGTAGTGTGCATTAAACACCTTCTTTTCATTATTTTCCTTCATAATAACCACAAATAACATAATTACTATCAGCTTCAATAAAACCAGGTAAATTAAACATATTACACAAAAGGCTAATCATTGAATTTAGTTTCATAAAATTTTCCATTTTTAAGAGAAATGGTTATTAGGAATAACTCATTTTTGGAGCACAAATGTAACAAATGGTAAACTATACCTAAGTGGATGTAAAAATAAACTCTAGTTTTTAGGTAATTACAGAAATAAAACGAATAATTAAATTAAATGCTGATAAATTTCTAAAAACAACATCTGCTTATCTCCAAGAGGGTAAAAAAAAAAAACTTGGAAATAAATCAATTGTAAGGTGCGTATAGATATGCCGGGCCGGGGCCAACAACAGGCCCTGCTTCGTCAGGTTTGTAGATGTCGAATATCTACCGCTAGATGAAAAGCAGTATGCCTACCACGGGCCGGGCCAAATAGGCTCGAAGTGATAGATATATACGGCACCGTACAAATCTGCCGAACCTCGGCCCTTAAAGCCCAATTAATAAAATAGTTTAAATCATCTTGTAACTTCAAACAGTCAGGTAAGTTTAAGATTTCCATGAATAATTTCAGGTCATCAGCGAATAGTAGGAACTTGCAATATTTAAATCCTGAAGCCACATCGTTAATAAATATATTAAATAATAGTAATGGTCCCAAATGAGATCCCTGGGAGTTAATACCATCATAAACATCACTTAAGGAAAACTGTATAAAGGGAATATCAGGCTGGTTAAAAGCATTATAATGAAGGTTTGGCTCATCTACAATATCTTTCTTATTAACACTGGAGAAATGCATAACAAACAAATTACTGATGTCTTTCCCATTATCAGCAATTGTACCATTATAATACATTCTATTGGGAATACCATGGTCTTGTTTCAAAGAATTAATGTGGTTTCAGAAGTATTTTGTATTTTCACAAACCTTCAGATCTATACCAGAAATATAATTTTCATAATTTAGTTTTGATAAATTTTTACATTGAGACCGAAGGTTAGAAAAATTTAAGTAATCAACAGCTGAGCGAGTACTTTTGAATACAGCATGAGCTGCCTTCTTGCAAGAAATCAACTTTTTAAGTTCAGCTGAAAACCATCTAGGGTATACTGATGGTTTATATCTCCCTAACAGGTACAAATAAAGCTAATGCCAATTTTAAAATCTGATAATAAAATTCAACACTAACATTAATATAATTATTGACTAAAATACCCTCCCAATTAATTGGAGCAAAATAATTATTTAAAGCTACATAATCCGCTTCTTTAAAGTCATAAAAAACAATGTCACAAGACAAGGGACTAATATCACTGAGTTAATTCACATGAAATTGCAACATGGTGGAAGTTATTAGGCAATAAGGTGTCTATAGCTGTCTCGATAGTAACCGAATTCCTAGCGTCATTGTTACAAAAACATAAGTCGAGGAATATACTGTGCTGATTTGGAATTCCATTGGCCTGACTCAGATTCAAGTAGGAAAAACTCTCACTAATTATTACGACTGGATATTCTGCAGGGCAAGAGACAGAGAGACCATCATCATACGAATAATTCCATGTAGCATGTGGGAAGATTATAGTCCCCAAAAAGGTATAGCTTATTGTTGGAATTGTTTTCCACTATATGCTCAACAGCAGAACAATGATCAATATAAGCATCATGATTTAACAAACAATAATGAACTAAAATACAACAAACTACTTATTGATATTTATTATTCACGAATTTAATATCCGACTTTAACTGACATTTATTTATATTGGTGAAAATTGTTTACCCTGTAGTCACGGTAACAATACATTTACTTGATTATTCTGAGGAATCCGCGCGCTTGGTAATTTGTCGTTAAATGTAATATTTTAGGTATGTTCAGAACGAAACAGAGATTTATTAACTTTGATCGAAATATGATGGTTGTAAATAAAATAGTTTACAAACCTTGGTGAGAAGTTTCATTCCTGTCTCGAGATCATAGCTAACTAATCTCACGACAGGAATGAAACTCTTCCCACCTCGGTGTGTAATATACTATTAACAAGTCTAAAATTACGTAACTTCTATGTATGGCACGTGAAATATTTCCAAAGAACTATTATATTTTCCTAAATTTAATAGAAATGTTTGTCATAGGTTTTTAGTATATACATCGCCAAAAACATGTAACCTTTTACCACATAGTGTAAGGAATGGTACAGACATTCATTTTTTTTACAAACTAAGTAAAAAAATTATTTTTATACATTATGAGTTCATAAAAATAATAGGTATAAATATATCTGTGAATCACATCGATATTTTATCTTAAGATGTACGCAATATTATTAGTTTAATTATACCATAATAAATGAAATTATTGACATACAGCGCAATACAAGTGTTCACTCATTTAGGGACTTACTGTTTTATAATCCTACATGTATTTTAATTTTAATAAAAATTATGTGAGACATTATATGCCGAAAGAATTAGGTTTCTTCACGAAAAGCCCCGGCAGATTGTGTAGCTTCATGATTTTACACAATATGATGACACTTCATAATGTGACTAGGATCTACATGAAATGACGAATTTCATTGTAGACTATGGCATATGTAAAACCAGTAACTTCCACTAGAAATTAGGAGAAAACTCAAAAATAAGATAAGCAGTGGTAAAGATGAGGTACCCACAAAAATTATTAAAAAATGTATTGATCATATTGTTAATCCACTCGTGCATATACTAAATAACTATTTTCAATTTGGAATGTTTCCTGATCAATTAAAAATAGAAATAATTTGAAAATTCGGAAACATCTCAAAAACGAATTATTAAAACCATCCCCGAACCCCAAAGGTGAAAACAAATACTTGGAGATTTCAAAAAAAACCTGTCGTATAGTAGGTCCACTACTACTTTATTATTTTTGTGAATGAAATAAACAGTGTTATGTTAGAGGGTGACAACTGTATAGTAACCAATTATGCTGATGGCACTAACATCTTAGTAAATACATTTGATATGATAGAATTAATAGGTTCAGTGCCCACGACCAGTTTACTGGACACAAAAGTGTCTAATAACAGCCACTATCCAGTTTACTGGATGCAAGAATTTTTATTCACAGACCGCGTCCAGTTAAGTATTAAATATATGGGTTCCAATAAGTGGTGGTCTAAAGATTTGCCCTAAAAATGTGAACCCTGGTGTTTGCTATAAATATGGAAATAATATACTGGCATCCAGTTAACTGGATAATCGGTAAAAGATGTCAATGTGACAGATATCTTCCAAATATATCCAAAGTAAGGCTACAGTGACATATTTGTATAATTTTATTATAAAAGTTAATATGGGGTTCTGGGTAGAGACTGCTCTGACCCAGTGCACACTGAACCTGTTACATGCAGAGAGAGAAAGAAACAACTAAAGCAAAAAAAGGTTTGAAATAAATAAACCTTAATGAGAGCAAAGCAACTATGACAGAGATGAAATGTCAAAAAATATTGAACTAAACAAGTCTCGACTAGTACCAAGTTTCTGGGGCTATATATTGATAACTTCTCTGCTGGGAAAACCAAGTGGAACACACGTATATAAGAAACTAAGCCGGATCTGTTCTACATTATGACCCAAAATAAACAGTACTTACGTAGTAGCGCTTAATTGTCAACAACTACCAGATCCTACCTTTCCAGACACATGTGACTAAAGAAGCAGTCTTCAAAAATGCCCCACAAACCCATCAATGAATTAAAGGAGGCTTTTTAAACGTTCAAGGAGAAGGTGCATATATCTTCAAAATGATATGTATTTTTTAAATAAATGAAAGGATTAGAAGTTCAGTATCTACTGTTTATTTTTAGCCATACTGTAGTATCCCAGTGGTAAAGAAATATTTGGAATGGGATAGTTAAAAAATAATGGTGTATTTTGCAAATTTTTAATCCAAAATTAGATAAGGTGGTAGTAGTTATATTGAAAGGGTTTTTTTAATTCACAAAAATTCTCGGCCTTTACTTGATGAAAATTCATATTGTTTAAATGAGAAAAATTAAAAGTTTGGTTTTTCTCATTAAAAAAATATTACAGCTGATGCTTAATTTGAATACGAAAGAATCTTGTAGTGGTAAATTTAGAGAAAATAAAATTTTATTCAGGATTGCTTTATTTTTTTTTTTTCTTTAAAAATAAGTTATTTTTAAAATGCAGACCAAAGAATTCTTATATGTTAAGAAATATAAACCTAGTATATCCAGTTATACAGTTGTGTAAAATTTTACAATAAACTGCCTGGTACAATTAAAAGTTTGTCAAATATAAAGTTATTTAAAAGGAATGTACATTACTTGCTAATTAATTTAGAACGTTATATGGTAAAGGAATATACAAAGTGATCACTATTCTCTAATGTTTTTTTGTTTAAGGATTATGTTATACAATATTATCATTACAATTTTCTTACTTATTTCAGGAAACCGTTGGTTAGTTTCTTTGTGGACCGCTACCCCACATCAACAACCAGCTTTGGATTACACAGAACTACAAAAAGTTGAAGTTCATCATCCAAGAGTTGTTTATTATCCACCTACAGAGCTTGAACAACCACCTTCACCAAAGCAACCTCCTCAATATTTGGAGCTCCAAAAGCGAGAAAGTGAAATATAATTTTTTTTTGTTTTCGCAACTAAATAATATTTTAAAATGTTTCACGTTTACTGGCCTGCAACTGCAGCCCTTTCACTTTTTCTTATTGTGGGGGTAATTATTGTAATGTTAAAATGGGGTCCAAAAATTTGTAATACTCGTCATACAGCTTTGCCAGACAGGAACAATTGGAGGCCTGTAGTATTTGAACAACAGGTGTCTTATGCTTAAATATAATAATATAAGGGGTTTTTGGAATAGCATTTGACTCAAAAATAAATTTGACAAAGATAATTTACAAATTCTGCTATTATTTGGTAGACACAAATTTGATATATTTTTTACTCTTAGGCAATATTTTAGAATGCTGCTTTTTATTGTAATTCAGAAACAGATGACCTTTTTATCTTTTAAAAGCTTAAATTGACGCCTAAATTTTATATCAGTAGATATGCACTAAACATTTTTAGTTTCCTTTTTACTATTAATGAAACAACTTTCTGAAGATGCCTTAAACTCTTATGTGCCTTAATTAATAAAGGCATAATATATTAATCATGTATTCTAATGAAGGGTTATTAATTTTTAAAGCACTAGTAGCTTTTAGAATTTTTATATATTTTTACAAAACGACATGTTAAGACTTGATGTTTGATCTGATTAGTAATTTACAATTTTGTAGAATCTCCGTCCATTTTAAGAATTTTTTGATAAAGTGATTTTAAATAAATCTGACCTTGGTTTTATTTTTTACAATACTATTTTTTAAATTTCCTGCGTCTCCACAGCTTCCAACATATTCGTATAGATATTGTTTGACCACTCAAATATTCAGCAGGTAGTTTGCAATTCGACAGGTACACTAGGTGAGTAAAAGCTTAACACTTAATCTTTATTAGGATTGGGCGCTTATTAAAATCGAGAAAAAATGTTAAAAAAACAGACAATATGTCCCTATCCACACTCTTAATGCAATATACTATTTATTATTTTGTTTTAACGAAGTTAATTGTTAAATATTATATAAGTGAATATTCAAATTGAAAATTGTTATTGAAGCTATAAGCTTCGGTGGCCTAATTGGTAAGGCAAAGAGGAATAAACTCGAGGATCCAAATTCGATTCCTGACTCAGGACATTCTTTCTGTCCTCCTCCCACTCTAAAGCCATGCTCCCTCGTGTGGTTACAACCAGTGTAAATATCTTAGAACCGATTCCACCGATGTGTTAAACGAAGTTTAAAATGACATTTTTACATTAACAATCATTTTAATCTAGGTTTAACAAAACGGTGGAATCGACCCTTAGAACAATAGAGTTCGTCAGTTAACTCTTTACTTGTGTCTTTTTCCACCGGTTTGTTAGAATCGTTGTTTCACCGATGCGGCCTTGAACGCCTTGTGTTGGATTCGATTTATTTATGGTTGACCGTTGAAATACATAACCGTTGACATTTTGGATTAAAATTTGTGTTTATAATTTATACTTTAATTTGAACGTATATATTTTTAGAAGCTAATTTTTTCGGTTTTTCCCACAATAAAACAATTAATTGACTGATTAATTCCCGCAATCCAGTTGTCACATCTAATCGGAAAAACCCATACAATTGAAATGATGGAATGGTGTTGCATCGATTGCAGCAACGTTGGATAAAAAGACAGCGCTGTTAGTTCATCAGTGATAGATTGATGGAAGAAAATGACAGGTAGATACCGCAGCGATGCCAACGTTGCTGCAACAGTTGGATAAAAAGACACACGTTTTGCTATCGATAGTGCACACGTGTTTTTTTATAATGGCGCGTATTTCTTACGAAAGCGAACAAGAAAATCTACAGCAGCTCATGGACGAAGCGTTGGATATGAGTGATGAAGATACTCCCGATGCTTTCGGGGATTACTCAGAGGATGACTGCATACCAAACGAGGCGTCATCAGAATCATCGGAAAGCGGTGATAGCAATTTCGCAAATCGCCCAGCAGAAAAACGTAAAATAAAAACTAAACAGGTAAGTTACATTGTATAGAACTCAATTTATTTTTACATTTTTTTTATATATAGGGTTCTACTCAAGACAATCGTAGCGAGAAAATTGCTGTTTGGAGCACCTCAAGTGTTAGTGAAACTATTGAAGAAGTTATTTAGGATTACGAAGAAGATGACGAGATTATACCTAATTTCGAACCAATAACATGGTCCCATGTAACCTGTAAAAATATAAAAACTTTCAATTTTTCTGCGCCCAGTTCTGGAGTTCCTAACAATGTAGCAGCTGAATTGCGGAATAAAAGTCCCTACGATTTCTTCAGGTATTTTATTGATAATGAAATAATTGAGCTTATGGTAAACGAAACTAACACATACGCACAACAGACAATAGAAAACGCCAATCTCTCTCGTTTACGCAAATGGAAAGATGTGCCCGCTAAAGAAATTGAAACATTTCTGGGGATTTTTGGATGGGCCTAAACAAAATGCCCAAGATTACTGATTATTGGTCGAAGAAACTTATTATGTATGGAAACAAGGTAAAAAGTTTTATGTCAAGAAACCGTTTTGAATTGATTTTATTTATGTGGCATTTATCCAACAACCAGGAATGTCCAAAAGGCGATCGCTTATTCAAGATTCAGGTTCTAATTAATTGATATGTTATTAGAACGATTTCAAATAGCTAATATTCCTTCCAGAGACGTATGTATAGATGAGTATATAGTTCCATTCCGCGGAAAACTTTCATTCAAGCAGTACATAAAAAATAAAAAAAAAACAAATTCGGCATCAAGCTTTACAAATTATGCATAAGTAATGGTTACACAAACAATCTGAAAATATATTGTGGCGGAGATGCCCAACCTGGCGTACCTGTGGCATCATCAGTTGTTATGGATTTAGCTAAAGATTTATTAGATTCAGGTAGATTAATTTATACCGATAACTTTTATACAAGTGTCAGTTTGGCACATGAGCTAGCAAAACGATCCGCTCATCTCGTAGGCACTTTGAGGACTAATAGAAAACTAAATCCTGTAGATGTTACCCGTGCTAAATTAAAGACATCTGAAACAATTACTCGTGAAAGCAACACAGGAGTGGTAGTACTAAAATGGGAGTGGTAGTACTAAAATGGAAGGATAAACGCGATGTCCTCGTGTTGAGCACGATAATAGTATGGTTGATGTGAAAACCGAAAATGGTAAAGTTGTCAAAAAACCTCAAATAATCCTAGACTATAACAACAGCAAGGGATTTATTGATATCTCAGATTAAATAGAAGCCTATTCAGCTGCACTAAGAAGAGGGTTGATATGGTATAGAAAATTAGCAATCGAGTTGATTACAGATGCAGCACTTGTCAATGCTTATATTATTTATAAAAATAACAGGAAAAATATAAGTATTTTAAAATTCAAAGAAGAGGTAACAATGGATCTTTTGGGTGAATGAACAAGAGAAGATAATGCAGATACAACCAGAGAATGCGGTTTGAAAAATATGGGATCACAGAGGCGAAGAACTTTTTTCTACCCAAATTAGAAAGTAAACAAAGAATAAAAACATTTTTAATATATACTTGTACGGAAAAAAAAACAATGAAAAATAATAAGTACCTACTTCTTTTAGATCAGTCTGAATTAGATAATTCAAAATCGTAGTGTTTGGCATATGCATGTTCTTTTTATGATGCCCTATTAATTCTTTGTTTCATTTTAAATAAAAACTATGATTATCTTGATGTTTTTTTTCAACCTACAGTAGTGGATGCTTATTACGCTGCTTTTACTGCAGAAAATTTACTAGAGAAAATATTGTTTACCCATTTGCTGAAGAATGAGGCAAACTTAATAAATTAAGAACAAATTTGCTAGAGACAAAAACAGTAGATCTACGTGAAAATAGTAGGTCTGGCAACGCTGATTGTTCCCTCGAATGCTTACGAAGGGTAAAATTTATGCACCTGTTGTCCTACTCGACCTTGGGGTCGGTTAAGTGGTCGCTTGTTTTCTGACGCGCCTACCCAAATGGTACCTTTAAAGATCCCTTATGCTGGCTGCGGTCGCGTGCGTGCATGTCCTACTAAAAACTTTTAGCATTAGCGAGATACATTTTGGATTAAAAGAGTGATGCCCCTAAATGTCGGCAACATATTATACAATATTTCAAAAAATATGTCTCGTTTTCTTAGCATGCTATGGAAATAAGAGTCATGCCTTTTATATTGTCAATTTGTGTACTAAAATATGATTGTATCCGAACATTTTCTCAACTTTAGCTACGAATATGTTTGTTAGCAGTGAAAGTAATGAAATTAAGAGCACTTCACCAGAGATTACCTATATAAAATTTATGAATTGGCGTCACAAGCATAACGTTAAGTACTTTTTTGAGAATGTTTTAAGTGGGCGTAGAAAAAGTATAGTACGTTACAAGAGTTGTAAATCCATTACGCGCTCGTGAAATTTACGCACTCGCTGCTTCGTGCGTAATGGGTTTACTTACAACTCTTGTTACGTAATATACTATTTTCATATGAATGTCATTTACATTATAGATGATAATTGCATTATGAATGTCAATTACATTATGAATACCAATAATTATTATACTTAAAGACACCAAGATGTAGGTAAATAAAATTACGATTTTTGGAAAATATATATTCAACTTAACATGTTTACAAAATTTACCTGCTTATTTATTGGAGTTTAATTTGCTTTTGAGACTCAATATGTCAACTAGTATATAAAAAAAAACTGTGGTCATTAATTAATACTTTTTGTAAATATAATAAATACAGGTGTTGTTATTTGTACAATAGAAAATCGATTGGAGCTGAGACAAGTACAGATTTATTTCTTGAAAAACAAAAAACAAATCATGTTACAAAGTAAGTGTTTATGAAATATATTTAATACTATTGGAAAAAAGGAAGTATTCTTATTCAATATTTAATGTAAAAAAACATTTCTGGAATAAATCATAACAGCAAAAAAATTAAGTATAATACTTTAAAAATCATTACTAAATAAGATAACCCACTTTATTGTTTATTAAAATGTACATACAGATATGATCACTTTTACTGGTCAGAAGCATATCATACACTCATCTATAACTCAGGGTGACCATATTTATTCTGACCCAACGCCGGATGCTGAACATAAAATATTTTTTTAAGCTCCCTAAAGATAAAAATACAAAAACATAGAAGTCATGTAGAAGACCAGAGTACCTTTTTTTTAGCTCCACAAAGATAAATACAACAGAAAAGTTCATGCATTACGTTTTTGTCTTGCTTGTTTCATTTCAGTGTTTCGCTGGACAAATATGGCGTTCTGCTGTAAAAGATGAAATGCTGGACAGACTTTGAAAATGTTGTACAATACAGCGAAATACTGTATGTATGGTCACCCTAACACATCCACCTCTACTTGCAACCTTCACCAAACAGGAATGACAAAATTTCAGTCCGAAGTGTTGAGATGAACATGTATTATTACCTGTAGTTAAAGAGTGAGCAAATCTGTATATAACACTGGAGTCATGGTACGTATTATTTTATTACAATACATTAGCAAATAATCTGGAATTAATATATTTGTATTGTTTATTACATCCATTTTTACCCAGCGTTTATGCTAGCTCTAATATTATTGTACCTGAGATTATTCATAATAGATTTACATGAAATTGATTTCTAATTTTCATTTACAAAAAATTGAATACCATGTAAATGAAATAAAAAATTCAGATTTTCTAAAGTGGGATAGTAAAACCATAAGTAGTTATTCCACTAATAATTAATTGTAATAATTGTTATTAAGCTAATTGTTTTGAAATTAAATTATTGATCAAATCTTGTTTATAGAGTTTCAACTTATTTATTGTCTTGAAGACACTAAGACAGAAACAAAATAATTTATTACCAATATGGTATATGGTTTTTCTATTTTTTAAACTTTAAAAACCATTAAAAATTAGTGCTCAAATAGAACTAAACCAGCTACAGAAGTTTGAAAGGCTTTTGGTAGATAGAGAGGGGATGAACTACAAACCATGTTAGACGATTTCGAGAATTTCACATTAATGTTTACCTGCCAGTGTCGTTTCATATAAGTAATTTAAATTGTTACTGGCGGAATCGGACAACCGCATGTATTTATGGACTAGAAATAATTATTAAACAAGTATTATAATATCCAAATCATAATTCTACAAAATTTTAACAGATATTCAATAGTTTTTAACTATTAACCCAAAATTGTTATTAACATCTATAAAATAATTTTGTACACCAATGTATCGCAAACACTTTGGTTAATTCCGCTGCAGAACTGTCAATTTGTGTATAAAGTGGGAGAACTGCAAAAAGCCTTTCCAACTTCTGCCCCTGCTATAACAATAATAGACATTAAACAAGTATTTTAAATTGAAATTTATAGACACCAACTTTTACATTGTTAAAATGCAATAGCATACAGAAACATTAAAAACTGAAGTATTAATATGTAAATAGTAAAAGAATTGTTAAAACTTTTAAAGTTTGTATACTTTTTCCCTGGCAAGTTTTAGTAATTCTCCCATTTTTTGTGAACCTCTGGTCTTAAGACAACTATATGGACATGTACAGCTTGATACTTTTCAAATTTTGGAGGGATAGGACACAACTGATATTTTACTCTGTCCCCAGGTATTGGGACATATTCATCCTCAACGCTAAAAATAAACAAATTTTAACTACTATGTTTAAACATGCCATGTGATTAATGTATGTTTTATTAATAACAATACTTACTCAGATACATGGACAAATATATCATCACTTCCATCCTCTGGTGTAATAAATCCATGTCCTTTTTCCCGACAAAATTCTTTAATCGTCCCATAAATCGTTTTATTTTTGAGAATGCGTTCACAACTGAAATAATTTAAGAACATTAATTTTTTAACTGAATAAAATACTATAGCAGACGTACATCATTTTACTTACACTGAAGGCGTTCTGGTTCTTTTAGTAACAATTGGACTGGGAATCAAATAGGACATGTGTGGTTTTGCGTCGCCTCCAGACATAATATTTTCTGTAATATAAAGATTAGTTGAAAGAAAATTTAAAAAATAAAATCACTTGACAAACTTTACGTTAAAATAGACGGAAATTTATCGGTTTTGACAATTGACTATTTGACAACTTTTAGGTTAGAGGAAAGTAGGTTCCTGTTTTTTTATTTAAAATCAGCAGAACAACGTACTGAACTATAGGTCTTTTCCTTTGCATCGAAAGTGTAGGAACGAGCTACACCACTTCTGAAAATATCGTTCCGTTTATACAAATTGTATGGATAGAACGATATTTTCAGAAGTGACGTAGCTCAGCGCTACACTTTCGATGCAAAGGAAAAGACCTTATGGGTCCTATGATTGAACGTTTACGTTATCCGTAACGTACATGTTAGGCCGAATTTTAAAAGTAACGAGGCAAGTTCGTATGATGGAAACCTGTTAAATTTGAACATAACAGGCGGAAAATAACAGTAATGTGTTATGAAAGACTTTACATCATACGAATTTGTCTCTTTGCTGTTAAAACTCGGCCTAACATGTACGTTACGGATAACGTAAACGTTCAATCATACCACCCTATAACTGTTACCAATAGGTATTTTCCTTTGCATCGAAAGTGTAGCACTGAGCTACACCACTTCTGAAAATATCGTTCCATTTATACAAATTGTATGGATGGAACAATATTTTCAGAAGTGACGTAGCTCAGTGCTACACTATCGATGCAAAGGAAAAGACCTAGGGTGAGATTACAGAACGTTTGCAACTTTGCATCTGCAACTTTGCAAATATGGCGGACTTACAAATGTAAGTATTCCAAAAAATATCTGCAAATTCGCAATATTTATTGTGGTTTATTACCCCCAACAACACTAAACCCAAATTTGGAATACGAAAACTTGTTACTTGCATGTGTAAGTCAGTCATATTTGCAGATTTTCAAAGTTGCCGCTATATTTGCAGATCTGCAAAGTTGCAGACGTTCTGTAATCTCACCCCTAATGTTACTGACTGGAACGCTAGAAAGTAAGTGATCTGTGAACGCTAGTAACAATAACAATACATGGGCGAGAAAAATTCACAGGGGAGAATTGTACAGGAACTCATTACAAAAAATAAATATTACATTTTAAAAATTATATTTAAAAAATAAAGAGAATATCACACAAATTTGTTATATGCAGAGGATATTTGCAGTATTCGATCACTATATTATCTGTATACCAAAGCCATAGTGCTGATATATAATGAGTTTTTCTATCCTTCCGAAGATATAGGAAAAATATTTGTCATATATTCTTTATTCATACTTTGCCTTGAGCATGCAGTCTATTACCGTTGGAGATTAGGCTTTTATAACTAGATCTAAACATTTTTTAACTGTTTCTGGAAAATTTATACTTCATTACTCTATGTATTTTCTCGTATATGTCCAATTTTTATTTATATTCAATACTACCATTAATAAGTAGTAGGGTTGCACAAAACAAGTGTTCACTCACTTAGGGCCGATTCCACCGTTGTGTTAAACGGAGATTAAAATGACATTGTTAATGTAAAAATGTCATTTTAAACTTCGTTTAACACAACGGTGGAATCGGTCCTTAGGTGCTTAACTTTGCACTATTTTAATTTTTTCCTTTTAAAAATTTTATTACTTTTATTACCATTTTTCTACATTTTGAACTTTTTACCATTTATTGACCTATATCTTGTTTATACTATTTTTTAGGTATGTACATGTATAATTTCAGATTATGTTGTTCCATATTTAATGTTTTAAGTTGTAAGAAAATTGAATATATTGTAAAAGGGTTTATGTCCAATAAAATAAAATAAAGAAATATTATCTATTGTTTTGTATTTGTTATGGAATTTTGTTATACAATTATGTAAAATATTAAAATTCATTATCATTATTTATCATCTTAAAGTACAATCACACGATGGTAGAAGACACTGTTTTATTACCAATTATTAATTAAATGGGGAAAATGCATACTAGTGAATGATAACACATCAGGCAGACTTCATTAGATACTGAAGTCGAGATCATCTAATGCTTGCTGATGACTCCTAATAAGGACAAAACCGGCCCAAGTATGACTTAATCAATAGGAACAAAAATCAAAGGTGTGTTGAAAATTATTTTCTATCTCTACTGTTCACCTTTTGATATAATACAATGCCTGTTGTGGTATTAACTAAGGGAGTAGTTGTTTTCAAAAGGGAAATTGTCGCCTTAGTTTGTGTGACACGGTCTTTGAGATTTTCTCTTTTTCTTCCATAATTTAGTTTTAATTGTTAATTATAGTATCAAGCATAGTTTGACAAAACTCAGGATATCTTTCATTTATTAAATCCCTCGAAAAAAATTCAGATTTGAAACGGTTATCTATTTTCAAAAACTTTATTTCAGATGTACATCAAAATGTACAATCAAATTTAATAAATAAAGCCGGCCCTGACTATAACGGTATGGTGCTGCTCTTAGAACATATATGTTCTAAGATGCTGCTACTCGGTTATGACACCTCTACTTACTGCGCATGAGCATTAACCTTAAAGTGACGTTATGCGCGAAATCAAAACGCCTTATTTTTTGCTATTGGGAATAGCGTTCCTTTGTAACGGTTAACGGCATAGTTCAGCGACTTCAGCTATATTTTAAAGTTTAAAACACAGTACAAAATTGATTCAAAAAATAAATAAGTTAAGTTTAGTACCGATTCCACCGTTGTATTAAACGAAGTTTAAAATAACATTTTTACATTAACAATGTCATTTTAATCTCCGTTTAACACAACGGTGGAATCGGCCCTTAGAACCGATTCCACCGTTGTGTTAAACGAAGTTTAAAATGAAATTTTTACATTAACAATGTCATTTTAATCTCCGTTTAACACAATGGTGGAATCGGTCCTTATTTAATTAGTTGCGGCCTTTATAGTTGGACAACGTTATGCAGAAAGCAACCAACCCTCAATAGTAGCAAACTGAGATAGGGGTCTATTCTGTAACAATTCCTTTATATTTTAACGGCCATTAAAATATTGGCTGCCTTTAAAGATATTTTCGTATCCGTTAATTTACTTCTGTCATTATTTAAACAGATTTATTTAAGATAGTCCTCTAATGTATTTTAAAGATCCGTTTAAATAATGACAGAAGTAAAGAAGAAAATATTTTTAAAGGCCGTTAAATATAAAGGAATTGTTACAGAATAGACCCCATAATCAGCTCTAAAGTTTTTGTTCGTTTGAGAGCCGATTCCACCGTTGTGTTAACCGGAGATTAAAATGACACTGTTAATGTAAAAATGTCATTTTAAACTTCGTTTAACACAACGGTGGAATCGGTCCTAAGAAAGCTATGGGATATGGGCTAACGTGTGTCTTTTTATCCAACTGTTGCAGCAACGTTGGCATCGGTGCGGTATGTCAACTGTTATTTATTTCAACGGTCAACCAAAAATGTATCGAATCCAATACAAAACGTTCAAGGCCGCATCGGTGAAACAACGGTTGCAACAAACCGGTGGAAAAAAAGACACACGTCTAGAATTTTATAGTTTTATAGGGTATATAATTAACTAAGACTTGGTAGGTTCTTACAGAATGCAGAACGTGTATTTTATTACCTAAATCCGCACTCAACCTAATATCTGGTATATTGTGGGTTGGTAGTTTAGCTATATCAAGCTAGCGGGCACTCTGTGGCGGCACCATTCAAGACCTGGCGGGTTTTTTGTAGCTTTTTTGTAGCTTTTTTGTTACACTATTTGCAAATTTGTAGCTTTGCCCAGGTCCGAAAAAACAGCGGATCCGCTAGCTTGAATTTCCATAAATTCCATAGTAGCGGCACAGATTCAGACCCAGCTGGTTTTTCGTAACTTTTTTGTAGCTTTTTGTTACGCTAGTCTCCCTTTTGTAGCTTGTACTGAACCTGAGAAAAGCGCGGATCCGCTAGCTTAGCGGATATTTGTAGCGGCACCAGCCCGGACCCGGCTAATTTTTTGTAACTTTTTTGTAGCTTTTTTGTTACGCCTGTCTCCATTTCGTTGCGAGGCCTGAACGTGAGTAATAATCGTTTCTCCATGAGGTGAGAGAAAAGTGCGTTAATTTAAAATCAAGTTTCGGCCTCTACAAGTAATATGTGCAACTCGATAGTGTGACTATCTGTTGATAGATGGCACCAGTATTGCATTTCACGAATTATGGACATCTTCCATCCAATATATTTTTGAGAAATTTAGATATCTCAAAATCGGACATTTTCAACGGTATGTATATTAATTATTTGTCCGATATTAATGTAAAATACATATTGGCAAGATTATTAAAATAGTTGTATGCCGGACGCCACTATTTTGCCGATCGGGTGTTTTCGGTTATTTTTAACCGACTTCAAAAAAGGAGGAGGTTCTCAATTCGTCGCGATATTTTTTTTTTATGTATGTTCAGCGATAATTCTTTAACAAGGTGTCCGATTTCAATGATTATTTTTTTGTTAGAAAAGGGGTACTTCTAGGGTTGCCAACCCTCCCGATTTAGGCGGGAGCCTCCCGCTTTTTTACTAAACCTCCCGGCTCCCGCGTTCTTAAACAAATCTCCCGCTTTTCGGTAAATAAAAAATACATTAATTTAAATTTTAATACTTATTACTTTATACTCAATCCGGCAACGCTGACGCAAACACACAAACGTTTCAAACTGACCTTGAAGTAACCAATCACAAAGCTTCTTCGCCGCAATCACACGTACGGGATTTACACGTCTTGTCGTCTCTATTAGCTGTTTGTATTTTGCTGCACTAACCTATCATAATCATTTTCTTAGTGTTTTGTTAAAGTGTATTATGGATCTTTCTGATATGAGTGATTTAAGTGATGATGAGATTGATTGGGTTGGGCAAATAAGTGTTGACGAAGATTATGGTGAACAAGAAAATACATTTCCGGTATTTGAGACAAATTATTCAAATCAAGAGGAAGCTGAGGTAGAGGAGGCTGGACCTTCTGTTAAGAAAACTAAATGGAATGTAAAGTTTAATAATGAATGGAGCAAAACTTATTCTTGGATTGTTAGGGGAAAAGATATTTCACAAGCAAAATGTACGGTTTGTGAATCACAATTTACAATAAATCACGGCGGAGAAAACGATATAATTAAACATATGAAAACGGAAAAACATAAGAAAAATATGACTAAAGGTTCACAGGAAAAAAAAATTGATAATTTTTTTTCAAAAAACAATTTAGACACAGATTTGACCGCCCAAGCAGAATGTGCTTTCGTTTTTCATTCTATCAAACATGCTCATAGTTATTTATCAGCCGATTGTGCGGGAAAATTATTTAGCAGGATTTTTCAGGACTCGAAAATTGCCAAAAGTTATTCATGCGGTAGAACCAAAGCCACAAAACTTGTAACAAACATTCTGGGTCCAGAATCCAAACATATTATTTTGAATGACTTGGCCAATAATCAACCATTTTGTATAGCAACTGATGCGTCAAATAAAGGGAATGTTAAAACATTTCCCCTTGTCGTTAGATATTTTAAAAAGGAGATTGGTGTATGTACAAAATTGTTAAAATTTTATTCGGCCATCTCAGAAAAGTCGGAAGCCATTGCCAACTCTTTGGTCGAAAGTTTAACAGAAGCTGGCTTGAATATTTTAAACGTTACGGCTTATTGCGCAGATAACGCTTCTGTAAACTTCGGCAAAAAACAAAGTGTTATTACTGAACTCAATAAATTAAATCAGAATATTGTTCCCGTTGGATGCGTTTGCCATATCATTCATAATGCCGGGAAGCACGGGCAAGGAGCACTTAAGTATGATGTTGAATCTATAGTGATTAAGTGTTACAATGAATTTAGTAGTAGCACAAAAAAAGTAAACGAATTGAAAGATTTTTTATTTTTTGTGAAGAAGAATGGTCCGATTTATTAAGAACCGTTCCAACAAGATGGCTCTCTTTAATTCCTGCCACGGAACGTCTTTTAAAGCATTTTACACCCATTAAATCGTATTTTCAATCGCAAGAACGACCCCCGCCTTTACTGGATTTTTTTTTTAAAGATGACCTTGCTGAAGCCTATTTAGGTAAGCACATATCTACATTATTCGAACTCGTTTAAGTAGAAAAATAATCCTGAAAAATCGTCGTTTTCAAGTATTAAACAAAAACACAAAATACCTATATTTTTTAACTAATTTATCTTTAAATTTTTTCAACAACCTAAAATTTATTATTTTAATTTTTTTTTTAATAGTATAGTAATATCTCAACGGATTGGTTTTTTTATGCAGTTTTGTTTATTGTAGGTCTATTACTTAATATCGGAAATTCGATGCACAATACAATAATTAAATTAGAATCTGAAAAAACGTTAGCAATAGAATTATTTAATATTATGCAATCATTGAGGTCTTCATTAAAATTGAAAAAGGAACAACAATTTTATGGATCCATAGCGCTTTCTCTATTAAGAAAGTGCGATGATCACACGAAAGTTACCATGTTTAAACGAGAAGCAGATGTACTTTTGGAAAGAATTATAAACTATTTGGAGAAATGGTAAATATTTTTTAAACTAAAGACTAAAGCAGAGAGTTGTCTTTATTGTATTATAGGCCTGATGATAGCTTCAAGCCGAAACTAATCGCTCTTTAATTAATAAAACTAATTCATGTGGTATTGATTTTGATTTTATTTATTCTTTTAAATAACGTAACTACATTTGAAAAGATGGATAATCTTTCATTCTAAAGTAGATATGTTAAAAATATATTTAAATTAATTTGTAGGTATAACTTTGATGATGATAATAAGTTTAAATCACTTAGTGCAATGGCTTTGCAAAACAAGCCAGATTTAAATAATTTTTTAAAAATTTGCGAAGATTTCCATATTGAAGTTAACGAAGATTTACTTTTTGAAGAATATGTTACCTTACTAGATTTTATGGAAAAATTTTCAGGAAATTTTGATGAGCTAACTGCAGATCAGCAATGGGTAGCCTATTTCAAAAAAAGTAATGCTCCTCCTTAGTTTTCTCCCTTCCACATTCAAATGCCATGAGCGAAAGAATTTTTAATTTAATGGGTTTGGCATGGAGAAAAGAGAGAAACAGACTGGACATAAAAACATTAGAAGCTGAATTAATGGTCAAACATAATTTTACCCAATCTTGCCAAGAATTTGCTAAATTCTTAAAAACGGATGGTGCAAGTATTATAAAAAAGGTTAAATCAAGCCACAAATATTAAAAATTCACCTATTTCTTGATTAAATTAGAAAATAATAATATTAAAATATTATTTGTATATATCTACAAATTTTGTGTAGGTATTTTTTAATATGTTTGATGTGTCCCACATTTTAAGATGACGATTTTACTTAATTTGTTTTTTTTTTGTTTTAAGTATATTTTTTGTTTAAGGTTTTAAAAATAAAATTTTGTGTTGTTCTTATTTTTTTTATTCTTTTTATCCTGGTAAAGGTTTATTAAGTAGTTTCAAAATAATTTATCTATATTTCTAGTTTTATAAAGTTATGTTTTGTTTAACATTTTCATGCTTTTTATGACAAAATACGGCATAATCAAGGCGTGGCACCCAAAAATTTTTTTTCGGGCTATTTATTTTCCCCTTAAAACGACCTCCAGCTTTTCAATTTTTAAAATCTGGCAACCCTAGGTACTTCAGGGGTGGTACCATATATATTTGGCCAAAATCTAATAATTGGGACCATGAGAAAATCCTCAAACTCTTCATTTTTTATGTATGTTTAGCGATAATGCTTTACCACCTTGCCCGATTTATATGATTCTTTTTTTGTTAGTAAGGGGGTACCTCGGGGTGGTCCCATATATAAATTTGGAACGTTTTTGAAGTCGGTTTTTTTAAATTTTAAATTTCTAATACTTTTGTTACTGCTAAAAACTTACTGCTAACTTCACACCGGTGGTAATAGCTACCAAGCAATTACCTATTCTCACTATATACAGGGTGTTCCATCTCAGACGAGCCACCCCGTATAGTTCTTATCCCATAGTAATTGGAAAAATTTCCCGAAACACGTCTGATGATTTTCTTTGGGGGACATCTTTTGACGTATATATATATATTTGAGGCTTGAACGAGCAACCCCCTATAAGGGGACGCTTCAACCCCTCAAAATTGATTAGGGAAGAGGGGTTGGGTGATACTTCATTTATAAGGTCTTGGAAGCCTCTTTACAAACGGTGTATGAAAAAAAATCAATTGTTTTATCATGCTTACAATCAAAAAAATCAAAACTGCGTTTTTAAATGAAATGTTCAATTTGTCTTCCATTGACTTCCATGCAATAATAAATTCTCTCGAACTAATAAATAAAAAAAAAATCAAAACATTTTCTTATCTTGCCTTCATTTTTTTTGTTCTTCGATCATTTCATGTGATAAAACAATTAATTTTTTTTAAGAATGTGATTTTTTTCATACACCGTTGTAAAGAGGCTTTCAAGACCTTACAAATGATGTATCACTCAACCCTTCTTCCCTATTCCATTTTGAGGGGTTGAAGCGCCCCCTCATAGGGGGTTTGCTTGTTCAAGCCTCAAATATACGTCAAAAGATCGATGTCCCCAAAGAAAATCATCCGACGTGTTTTGGGAAATTTTTCCAATTACGGATAAGAAATACGGGGTGGCTCGTCTGAGATGGAACACACTGTATAGTTGTGATCCGACAGAATTAAACACTGGTCCATAAATACTGCAAAACGATTGGTTAAGGGAATCATTCAAAAAAGATGTAAGAATATTCTGGATTCAACAAAAGTTTAAATACGTACATAAATAACACTAAAAAACATTTAAAAACAAATGTCCGATTTTGAGATTATATCTAAATTTCTCAAAAATATATTGGATGGAAGATGGCCATAATTCGTGAAATGCAATACTGGTGCCATCTATCAACAGATAGTCACACTATCGAGTTGCACATATTATTTGTAGAGGCCGAAACTTGATTTTAAATGAACGCACTTTTCTCTCACGCTCATGGAGAAACGATTATTACTCACGTTCAGGCCTCGCAACGAAATGGAGACAGGCGTAACAAAAAAGCTACAAAAAAGTTACAAAAAATGAGCCTAGTCCGAGCTGGTGCCGCTACAAATATCCGCTAAGCTAGCGGATTCGCGCTTTTCTCAGGTTCAGTACAAGCTACAAAAGGGAGACTAGCGTAACAAAAAAGCTACAAAAAAGTTACGAAAAACCAGCTGGGTCTGAATCTGTGCCGCTACTATGGAATTTATGGAAATTCAAGCTAGCAGATCCGCTGTTTTTTCGGACCTGGGCAAAGCTACAAATTCGCAAATAGCGTAACAAAAAAGCTACAAAAAAGCTACAAAAAACCCACCAGGTCTTGTATGGTGCCGCCACAGAGTGTCCGCTAGCTTGATAGAGCCTGGTAGTTTTCTTCATTCCAGTTGTGGCGATGCTAAATATATTACAAAAAGTAAACAGTTCAATTAGCTCCAGTCTTAATTTTGGAACGTATCCAAAAAATGACATATTCGGCTGGCATTTGACGTTTGGCATTTCAAATAAGTACATGTGGTTTTTGACAACTTGGCTGATGCAATAAGTTTGCAAACCATTTAATTCGTTATTCTGAAAATTCTTAGGATTTACTAGTGCAAAACATCAAAAAAACAGTTATTTTTGTGTGTTATCAACTTTTACAATGGCTGAAGATGATGCAGTAAGTATAGTTTATTATAAATTATATTATGGTGGGTGTGCATATGCTGGTAGAATTTTATGGTACCTGTTTATTTTTATTCTATAGATAAAACCAACATATGATTACAATATTTGTTTTTAATGGATATATTTTAATGTTAATATTTTATTGCATAATGTTTTCCTACCCAATTGAATTTATTCTGACTAAAAATATTTTTAAAGTTTCTTCTTCCCACCTTTCAAATATTCGGTAACCTTATAATTATTGTTTTAACCCTACTGTTATCTTATGGTTTTTAGATTACACTGGTCCTAAAGTTAAAAATTAAAGGCAATTAAAAAAAATAATGAATACCTAAATTCCTTGTTCCTTCAGTTCAATGACTTAAGAATTATAAAAAATTTAAACAGTCTTTTGATATAAGTATTCCACATTAATTTAAATTCTTAGTATCTAAATTTAATGTTGACATAGGTAAACAAACTAATGATGATAAACAATATTCCCACATTTATTATTATTAAATATTGTCAAATAGGTAATTCAGCCACATCAAATATTTAAAAAGAAAAGTAAAAACTTCTGTTTTCTCATATTCTAAATGTTTGATAATTTTTATATTCATTGTATGTTAAAAGATATCTCCACCAAAACAACTTATTACAACAACTATAAAAGTTTATGTAAGTGGAGATTTTTTTGGGAATTAAGAAGGATGGGACTGGAAGAAAACGTCTCCGTTACCTAGTATAAAATAATTTTCACCTTTCTGTACTTTCTGCTATTTGCATACTTATAAAAAACTGTCATAGTACCTACTTGAAAATTAAAATACCTATGTTTGTTATACTACATATGGTGTACTGAATTATTGGTATGACTGAGGGGTAAACCACTGGTGTACTATTTGTATATTTCATGTACTTTTTGTATATTATTTGGTAATTATGATGTAGGGTTTCTACTGGAGCGATGGTGACTAAGAAAACTGGAGCCACAACCTTTTTTTTTAGGTTACCAACTTAATTTTAGTATCGGGACTTTTTTGGCCTATCAACAAAATGCTCATCTACTTATGTACTATTTATCTAGGATTTGTGTATTATTTATCTACAATTTGTGTACTATGTGCATAATATGTGTTCTATTTTGGGCAAACTATACAACATTTTTCCAGCAGTTTACATATCGGGTATGACACTGTATTTAAAATCCAATTTACATTTTTTTTATAATGTTAACCTACTTCAAAAAAGGAGGAGGTTCCCAATTCATCCCTATATTTATATTTTTTTAATGTATGTTCAGCAATAATTCTTTACCATCTTGTCTGATTTCTATTATACTTTTTTTGTTAGTAAGGGGGTATTTAAGGGGTGGTTCCATATAAATTTGGTCAAAATCTAATAATTGGGTCCATGAGAAAATCCTCAAACTCTTCATTTTGTATGTATGTTTAGGGATAATTCTTTACCACCTTGTCTGATTCCTATGATTCTTTTTTTGTTAGTAACGGGGTACATCAGGGGTGGTCCCATATAAATTTTGTTAAGATATTGTGATGGAAACTGCACGATTTTGAAGTCGATTTTTTTAAATTACTTTGTGGTATTTTTCTGTTGAAATTTAATATTTAATTACCTAAAAATGCTATTTAATGGTCTAGCTCCATAATATTTTTTTCTTTATTTGATTGAAACTACTATTTTACTGAAAATTGTACTTGGAATTTCCTGCTAAATATAATTTTTTTGCTATTTTGTTAGAGTGCTGAAATATGTGACTTTGTTGACCTAAAAATTTGATTTAAGGGCTTTGCTGCCTAATTTTTATTATATTTTATCGATACTAGTGTAGTGAATCATTGGTACTAAAAATTATATTTGTATTGTCATTAAATATTCATCCAAGGTCCAATCTTTTCACCTTTGAGTAAAGTTGAAAGTAAGTACTTGCTGATTAAACTATAGACTATTGTTTGCTAATCTGTCAAGTAAACCTACATGTAACTTTACTTAGAGAGTAAAAGATCGGCCCTAAATATTGTTGATTTTTTTAACCGACTTCAAAAAGGAGGAGGTTCTCAATGCGTCCTAATATATTTTTTTTGTGTGTTCAGTGATAATTCTTTAACATGGTGTCTGATTTCAATGATTCTTTTGTTAGAAAGTGGTTACTTCAGGGGTGGTCCCATATTAATTTGTTCAAAATCTAATAATTGGGTCCATGAGAAAATCCTCAAACTCTACATTTTTCATGTATGTTTAGCGATAATTCTTTACCACCTTGTCCGATTTCTATGATTTTTGTTAGTAAGGGGGTACCTCAGGGATGGTCCCATCTAAATTTGGTCAAAATCTAATAATTGGATCCATGAGAAAATCCTCAACTCTTAATTTTTTATGTATGTTTAGCGATAATTCTTTACCACCTTGTCTGATTTCTATGATTATTTTTTTTTTGTTAGAGAGGATATTTCAGGGGTAGTTCCGTATACAATTGGTCAGGATCTGATGTTCTGTTAGAAAATAAAGAATCTCAGTTTTTAAGAGCATCTGCATGATTTTGATGTTGGTTTTTTAATTAAAAAATTATTTGCTATTTTGATTGAATGGTAATAATTATTTATGGAAATTTGTCACTTTATTGATCTAAAAACTCTATTTTGAGGTCTTGCTGTCTAATGATTTTAGTATATTTGATTGATACCAGTGTACTGAATCTTTGGTTATAAAAATTGCATTTGTAATCTCATGCTAAATATTATTTTGGTTTTATTTGATGTTTGATAGAGTGGTAATGAGTATCTGCTGAAACCCCTGATTGTATTTTGAATCTTGTGCTAAATGTGTTTATTTGGTCTCTTTGACAATAGGACTAAAAAATTAAAACAACATTTCTAAACTCTCAGTTTTTGTTTATTAACAATAACCTAGTAAATTTTTGCTATCTGAATTATTATATTTTGATTCACATGCTAAAATGTGGTTTTGTACATGGAAAAGTTAAATTGAACAGTGTTGCAGGAATAAATTAATAAGGTATACTTTGTGGTCCCTCAAAAATTTGTATTTGTGAATAAAAAAAATTAATAACAATTATTATCGTGATGGGAGCACTTTTAAAAATATTTTCTCCATAGATCTTTGACCCAAGTTTAAAGAAAAAAAAGAAGAAGAAGAAGACCAGCTTTGACATAGATGCAGCTTTAGCTGAAGGTAACACAGAAAATGATTCAGCACCAGCTAATGATGCTGATAATAAGGAATCAGCAGCTGCAGGTAATTTTTTATGTAATATTGACAGTTCTAATCTGCAAAAGCAAAGAAGTGAATTATTTTTTAAAAATTGAAAGTTTTGAAATATATAATTGCTACCTATAGGTGAAGACCAAGATGACGGCAATGTAGACATTGATCTTGACTTTACGAAAGCAAAAAAGAAGAAAAAGAAAAAGCCATTCACAGCTGAAGACTTGGATTCTGTTGACAACAAAATTGAAATTCCTCAAGAGGGAAGTGGTGACGTCGATGGAGGGGTAGATGACAGTTTTGATTTAGAATTGGATTTCAGTTTAAGTAAGAAGAAGAAGAAAACAAAGAAGCCCAAAAACCTCGATGATCTGATTGCTGAAACTGAGGAGAAGGACGAAGATCAAGAAAATGGTAAGGAACATATTTTTGCTGATACTCATTGTATATTTAAAAATAATCTGAATTGCATTTAAAAAAAATCAGTGGGTCTTACAACAATTATTTATGATTTGTTTTTCTCAACATGCTGCACCATGGTTGAGTCTGTTTCGGAAACAGGTGAGGTACATTTTAAAGTGTTTGATAATTGGCTTCAAATGGTTTTAGGTTTAGCCTAATATCTGCCATTATAGATGGTAACTCAACCAAATAGCTAAGAGAACTTCAGTTTTTTTACATGTTAATGATTTAAAAACTAGGAATGGACCAAAGTTTGAGTTTCTTGATAGGACATGAAAATAGTTTTTTGCTGTATTCCTAATAATCACAATTTTCTTTTAAACCTGGTTTTCTTTTTTCTATTGTGTTTAAAGCTGAGGCAGATTCATATTCAAATAAATGTGAAATACAATAATTTATTATGAGTTAATAGTAGAATATTTATTTGTCGGCAAATTTGATCAAATTCCGTAACTTTGTTATGTAGTTTATACAAAATAAAAAAGTATTTCCTTACGATCAGATTTTATGTTAAGTAAAGAGTATGTGACTTGATTTTTCACTCAGGAAAATCGAAAAAAAAATGTTTAAAATAAATATATTTTTTTAATTTTCTTACGTCGTCCGAATATATAGTTGTTAGGGCTCGTAAACTGTATCTTTATGAACGTGATGTGATGTACTTTCAACGAAGCCGCATTGGTGGCTATAGTCTGAATAAAAGAGGAGTGCTGTATAAAAGGGATATAACATCTCATTCCATAGTCGTACTTTGCAAAATAAGTTTCTACAATTTAAATATCACGGCATATACAATGCTATATACGCACTTGGTAGATAAAATTTTGAATGGAAAACGTAATTAAAAAAGACCTTATTCTTCTGGCAAAATTGTTGCTTATTACCATTGAACGAATTAAATTTAACCAATAAATAACAGGGTGGATTATATTTTGTTAATTTAATTAAACTTTTTTAATCTCTTGGACTTAAAAGTAACACTTCAGTACCTAAAATCAAAGCTTTAAAAAAATATTAAGTTCAAGAACTGTCTTTAAAAGTCACTGTCTTCACTATAACTACTGGTATCATTATCATTGCCTTTTGTGAGGTTTATTATTATAGGGTCTATTAAGTTTTTCATTGTTATATCCATTTTCCAAAATGAATTTACCACCCTTTTGACATGATCAATGTATTTCCTTCAATGTTCTCCATTTACATCTGAAACTGCATTCAAAAACACATTTCGCACATCAGGTAATTTAAATGTTGTATTGTTTCAAGAAATATAACCTTTTAGTCATGACCAGATTAGTTTAATAGGATTTAACTCTGCGTGGTAAGGAGACAATCTGATAATTTCAATTTCTTTTTCTGGGGCGATCTCCTCTATTATATATTTTTTGAATGTTTTTATATTGTCTTGCTATTACGAGTAACTCTGCCTTCAAGGATTTAGGAGGATTGATAAAATGAAGCCATTTTGAAATATCTTTTTTTTTTTTCATCTTGTTGCAGGTAGTGACTCCTTTAATCGACTGTGGTAGGATGCATTATTCAAAACAATAACAGAGTTGATTGGATTTTTTTATAATATTCTGAAACCAATTTTCAAATATAGGGCCATCATTTCTTATGGTAGTCTTTTGTTTTCTTAGACTCAAACATTAATAAACCATCTTCCAATGTTGTTTATTATTAAACGATTTCCTTTTCCTGTTGGATTTTTTAATCCACAAGATACCCCGTCCATAAAAGCTTGTTTTTTAGTTTTGATGGAGGACGTATCTTGCCAAATTTTTGTTACTACATGTCCAGCATTAACCCATGTTTCATCTAAATAAAATACCTGTTTAAGCTGATTCCTTGCGTCCGCTATTTTCCTTAAATAATCATGTCTCCACCCAATGATTGTCTTTCTCTGTTAAAAAGCTGTTTCTGTCACGTTTTTTTATAACAAAAATGTTATTCATGTAATATTTTTGCAGATGAAAATATGTTTGGAAGTGTAGAAATTTAATTTAGAAAGATAAAGCATGTACCATTTGCCTTATTACATTGTTTCAATAAAGGTCTTGTTTCTTTGTGGGGGGTTTTTCAGATGTGAGACCTTTCTCCAATAAATGTATCTTCTTTAATAATGTTATATACTGTCGCATAGATACTCGTCTCTAAAATAGGTCTCGCATTTAGTGGCTATTTCATCCATAGAAAGTGAAACAAAGTCTTTTCGAAGATTATTAAATACATTAAGTTATAAGTATTTTCTTTTTCTAAAGATAATGCTCTATGTCCGTCCATTAGATCGTTTGCGTGTACTTGTGCTTGCAATATTTTCTGATGCACTCGCCATTTTTATGTAACTGTAAAATTATATGTACTAATATGGCTTTGAATAAATAAAGTCTGACTTATCTGTAAAAAGAAAAGGTTATTACTGTAAAAACCATGGAAACATGATTAAATCAAAACGAAAATTTTATTAGGCCAATCAAATGTATTAAAATTTTCATTTTAACTACAAATAAGCGTTGAAGGAAGATGTATAAATAAAATGTCTACCTCTTGAACCTGTACTACGTTCCGCAAATAAAATGACTGCACTCATTTCTTCTCTAGACCATACACAATGGCTAGAAAATTGGAAAGAGATCCAATGAACCGAGTTGGAGTCAACTCTTGTACTCAAATTAACAATTAGGTTACTGGATGTATATCGCTCCGGTGGTCTAATGTTTATGAATTTTTGACTTACTGGGCCATATCCTACTTGTAGTGGAATTTTTTCAAAAATAAATTCAATTTTTTTTCTGGTTTGTTTTCACTCCTTGCAGTTCTAGAATTTATTCAAATATTGCCAGAACCCTTTTTGTGAAAAGGTGAATATTGTATTAAACTTCCCTTTTATAATTTTAATTTAAAATACAAATATTTTCTATTATACGTGTACATAAAACTTTGGGGATATTAAAATGTAAAATATATGCTGTTTAGTTTTCATTTAAATCGAGGTTGGTCACTGTATAATATTAATATTTTTATAGGTTATTTGTTGTGACCAGAGATAACATAAGATGTAACTACTAACAAATATCTTGCTGTAGTGAATAAGACATAATCTAAGGGACAGAGGAGTGTATAATATCCGTTGTTGTATTTCATTGTTCTCGTTTTGTTTACATTATTTACATATATTAGAAAAGCTAAAATAATTCAACCTATTTTATAGCAACTGAACCCAAAAAAATTTTGAATCATTAGTTATATCAAATTTAACTAAATTAGACGTAATAATTTTCAATAAATTCCAAATCCTAGTTAATGTTTACTTGGATGTGACAACAAGGCTTACACGGTTTGCATTTCTACATTGTTTATTATAAGCGCTCAAGCGCTTACATATATATATATTCATTGATAAAAAAATCCTCTCTTACCTCTCATTACACGTTTCTTCACTCCGAACCTACAACTGGAGCCTATTGTCTGTTGAATTAATGTTGGCATCATGAATATGATATTTTGTCAATGAATAGCTACATCTCCTGTTATCTCTGGTTGTGACATTTCATGTTTATCATTTGAAGCAGCTTTGTCTGATATGAAAAAATTTTGAAACTAGAGAAATTTATAATCAGCCCATTGCGGGCTTGATTAAATTTGTCAGAGTTTGAGATTGTGTTCTGTATGAATGACATAAACTTCAAATTTTGTCAAGTACTAACTTTTAGAATGCAATTGTCAAATACCGGTTGTTCAAATTAAAGTGTTACTGTTAAATGCCGCCGAAAATAAACATTTTGGCTAAATTCATTTTTTTATAGCTGACCATAATATGGCCATATCGAGGTGGACTTTTTTTTTCAAATGGGAACCCCATTTTTTAAATATTCTTAATGTTCATAAAAAAATAAGAAACTTTCAAGGGAAATCTTTTTTTTATTGGACTTTTACTTGAGTAACACCTACTTGAAAATTTTGCTGCGCGAAAAAAAGTTGGCCATATTATGGTTAGCTATAAAAAACGATTTTAGCCAAAATGTTTCCCCCAAAAAAACTATAAAACTTTCGTCTGAAACCTTTTTTTTATAAAATGCGGTATTTAACTGTAACATTTTAATTTGAACACCCGGTATGTCTTTAAATGTTTTCTTAAAATGTATTCAGAAAATGATTCCTTTTTACTCTGTTTTATATAGAATAAAATTTGTGGATATTCAATTTTATTTTATTCAGTATTAAAGATCTCCCTACCTTAAAAAAATATATTAAGACAAATCCATTAATACCTTATGTAATTTTTCATTACTTAATTGATTACTTTTGGCATTTAGAATTTAATACTAGATTCTTATGGAATTACAATAAATACACAAAAGATTCTAAATATATTTTAAATTCAATAATTTTATGGAAATTAAATGGAAGATTTTGTATTTAATGAATTATTATTATTATTATTATTCTTTTTGCTGGTCTTATAGTGAAATAGATACCATATTGAAGATTGGTTAAAATTTAGAATAGGTAATAGATTCATTCATCAATGAAAATGTTTAATATTAATAAGTTTGCATTTTTTGTGGGCTTCTTGTAAATAGTTTTTGAGTGTCAATATTACTATACAGAGTGAGCAATGTTTGATTTTCATAGTCACCCTTGATTTAAAAAGAAACAACATAATTTAAAAACATAGAATGGTTGTATTTCATGAACTAAAGATAATAGGAGATATAGCTTATTCATTGATAAAATATAACATCGACACGGTCGATACGGTCCAGTTTGTCATGAAGAGTGAAGAGACATGTGGTGAGAGGTAGGAGAGGGGATAAACAAGGATTTTATGGCGATACCAAACCATTTTTATCAATGAATATATGTATAAGCTGTTGTACGTTTATAATAACCAACGTACAAAATGCAAGCCCTGTTGCCACATCTAGTACCAAATACTTGATATCCAACTTAACATTAACTAGGTTTTGGAATTTATCGAAAATTATTACAGCTAATTTAGTGTAATTACATATTATTTAGTTAAATTTGATAACTAATGATTCAAAAAATTTTGGGTTCGTTGCAATAAAATAGGCATGACAACAGCGGATAGTATACCCTCCTGTGTGCCTTAGAATATATCTTATTCACTACAGCACGATATTTGTTTGTGGTTATCTCTGGTACCAACTTAAATGACAAAATACTCATCGCCATCAGCCCTTTATGTGCCACCTAGATTAGAAAAAAAATTGCAATTCCTACTTTTAAGCTATTAAAAAATGCATTTTAATTTATATTATATTAAAAAATAAAAAAATAAAAGAGTAGTATTTATGTAAACTATACATGAGCCTGCTATCCTTATCTATGGTATAAAATTAAATCTTTTAGAATCTTATGTTGTTTGGCGAGTGGATGTAATTCCCACAGACAAAAAAAACCTATAAGTTATACTCTATGATTTAATAGTACATAAGAATTAAATGTTTTTAAAAATGTTTAATCAGAAGTACAAAATAAATTGTTTTTATTAGGTTTTACTTTTCTGATAATTATCTTTAGTTAATGAAATGTAGCTATTGTAAGTTTTTAAATTATCCTCCCTTATAGCACCTCCTAACTTGTATTTTTCTGTTTTAAATAGTTGATGAAAACTCAACTCAATGGGTCAACTCCGACAGAGATTACACATACGACGAATTATTGAATCGTGCCTTCGAAATTATGAGAGACAAAAATCCGGACATGGCGGCGGGTAAAAAGCAGAAATTCGTCATGAGACCGCCGCAAGTCGTCAAAATCGGCGCGAAGAAAACTTCGTTCGCCAACTTCACCGAAATTTGTAAAATGCTTCACCGTCAACCCAAGCATCTGTTAGACTTTCTTTTGGCTGAATTGGGTACCAGCGGGTCTGTGGACGGTAACAGCCAGCTCATCATTAAGGGAAGGTTCCAGCAGAAACAAATTGAAAATGTGCTGAGAAGGTAATTTTTGATATTTTTTCAATCGATTAAATAATTTGCCTCTAATATTTTATTTTTCAGGTATATTAAAGAATATGTCACCTGCCATACCTGTAGATCACCAGATACAATTCTTCAAAAAGACACTAGATTATTCTTTTTACAATGTGAAACGTGTGGTTCTAGGTGTTCAGTAGCTAGTATAAAATCAGGTTTCCAGGTATGTACAATTAAATTTTTTTTATTATACAGAGTGATTGTAATGTACATACGCTTTACAGTAGATATTTCTCGTAAATGTACCCAAAACCACGACGTGTGCCAATGTGAGACGCGGCACTGGGAAAGATTCGTGCAGCGTTGCCAAATTTATTAGTATTATGTAGTTACGTAAAATATTTAAATAGTAAACCAATTGAGAGGTTCAATGCATAAACCAGCCAAGTCATTTTGATAAAATTAGCCCAGGACAGATAAAAATGTTTCAAGGACAAACTATTTGATAATGTTAATATAAAAAGAATCTATTTATCTGTCCGTCCGTCTGTCTGTTACGAAATTTGATGAGTTCGTTTGTGTCCCTTGAATTTCCCTAACATTGAAATTTTCTCTGTTGAATCACGTCAGAAAATTTTAAATCTTTCTTCCTGAAAATGGTTTTCCACAATTTTCTACAGAGGATTTATTCGTTTAAGACATAAAATAAATGGAAAATAGTGAATGATACTTGTTCATACATATTGCTTAGTGTTATTATTAGTACATAATTCTATAGTCAATTAAAAAATCATTATTTTTAAGTAAGCCGACTTTAGGTTAAGGCTGTTCTACTGCTTTCCGTTCGGTATTTATATAAAATTCTGTTACGGTCAAGAAATTATCCTTATTCAAATAAATTAAATTGTGGTAAAATTGTATATTGGTCAAACGGGCCGTACGTTAAAAAAAAGGTATTTAAAACATTACAATAGTTATACTAAAAACAAAAACAATTCTACAAAACATATTTTTATCTGAAAATCAATCGTTTATGCAAAAATTGTTTCACATTTTGAGAATAAAGGCATTAAATTAAATAATTTAGAAACACTTGAAATAAATAGATTTAAAAATTCAAATATCCTCTTAAGTACTGTAATGTGAGCCATTTTATTAGTCAGTCATGCTCTAATACTCCAAGTCCCTCTCTGTATTATTTGGCCTTTGAGGCTAAACTTGTCCGCTTATTATACATAATTAAACCCCTTAAGACCAAACCTATGGGACGACTATGGTGGAGACACTTTCGCGAACATTCCAGGGTCAACGAGATACTATTTCTAGAACGTGATAACGTTTCTGGTACATACTGGCAATTTTGGAGGGGGAGCATTCTAGATCACCAATTTGTATATAAATTGGTGGAGGAGAGCCATCAAAATCAGTAGTTATATGGACAGTGAAGATAAATAGTAATTAGTAGATAGACAGTGGTGAAGATAAATAGTAATTAGTAGATAGACAGTGGTGAATATAAATAGTGATCAGTTTAAAGACATTCGAAGTATATATAAATTAAAATAGTATTGTTTAAAATAAATGTTTAAATAAATTATTAATAAATAAACTGTTGTTTGAAAATAAACAAACATCACAGTACCTACTTTAACTAATTAGTTTATTTTGTATATATATTAGAAATGTAAATGAGTCACATTTGAAGAAGTTGTACTTAGAAACAATTGTCGTTCAATTTTTAATTTTTATTTCTTTAAATAAAAGTGTGAAAATCTACCATGTTTGGTTTTTCTCATTTTAATAATATCGATTTTCATCAAGTAAAGGCCAAAACTATCAAAAAATTAAAATGAAATGGTACTAAATACTTACCACTTATATAGCCTATAAGTAAATACAAACAATGTAAACAGTAAATCACAAATAAATAATGTTCATATGTCTTCGTCAGATTAATTTCCGAACATAAATCAGTTTGTATTTCTCTTTCAAAATATTTATCACCTACCTTTATAACATGATCGCATCTCTTTTTCCATTCCTCCATACTGATTTTGTTAAATTCTTCTTCTGCTAATTGTTTTACGTCTTCTAATTTAAAGGTAACATTCCTTTGATTGACATTATTCTTAACAGTTGCCCAAATCAATTCGATAGGGATCAAGTCGAGGTGATATGGGGGTAACTGTAAAGCGGTGTGGCCGTATTCTCGACACAACTCATCAAATGCATATGTTACATGTCGGTCCTTATGAGATTTAATCAGTTCATATAACTCTGGTTTCAAACTTGTTGGATTAAAAGGTATGTTGTATTTTGTCAACCATTCCATCATATCATTCTTCAAAGAATTGGAATTAGGTGCTCGATTTGTCTGTACATTGTGATAACTAGCATTATCACAAACAATTACTGAATTAGGTGGAAGATTAGGTATTAACTTCTCTCTTAACCATTTGCCGTAATTTTCCGAATTCATTTCGGAATGATAATCTCCAGACTTGGTCCCTGATTTAAATATCAACAAACTATTTTTGATAAAACCCATTTCTCCCTCACCGTGAACTATAATGAGCCTTTGGCCTTTAGAAATAACAGAAAACAAACCTTTTGTTGAATCCTCTGTCCAATTCTTGGAAGAAGTATGGCCGCTGTGTATATATGTTTCATCTAAATAAACGTAGACCAATCGTATGTTGACAGAGTATGTTTACCTGTTGCTTGTGCAGTTTGAAGTTTGATATCATCTAAAGTAACTCCTTCCTTTTTTGTTGCGTCAAAATATTTAAAAACATTGTATATTACTTCACGACTTTGTCCGTTAATAACAGATCTGCGATTTTTTCACCCACAATAGAAGACATTATCAAAAATAAAACCAGTCACTTTAACCCAAACACAGAAACAAGAAACAAACAATGATCTAGTCGTTACGCTACTAACCGTAAGCAAGGACAAGGTTCAAATTGAGAATGGGCGTGCCGATTTTTAAGTAAACGAATTTGAACAAATTTGCGCTGGTTCATCAGATGTGGCACTTACTGTACTACCTTTCAATTTCTTATACTATTTGGCAACGTCTCAAAATGCACAACTTCGACTATAATGCTTTAAGATCCAAGTGAGCACCTCGAAAACCAGAACGAACTGCACATTATGACCTTTGCGGTTTCATCTATTTTATCGTAGTCGATCTTTACCTATATCCACTTTCATTTAAGAGCAAACCAAACTCCTTGAAAATTTATAATGCCTTTTGGGGTATATTCTGTAAAAATTTGATTAAAATTAACCCTGAGTTATAAAAATAATTTTGTTATTTTTAATTTTGTATTCTGTATTATTTGTTTAAAATTATAACTTGTGTCAGTGATAAATCTAGTAATGATTAACTGTCAAATATATTTTTTCCTATTTTTAATGCTGCGTTGGGCTTACTTTCTATTCACTTTTTAGGTATATTACATCGTTGCTATGTCTATTTTAACTAGGATTGGTTGTGACACAAAATTAAATTGATGGAATATTGAATAGATATATGGGTTAAAATTTAAATGTCATAGTTATAAATAACCTTTTAACCTGTCCGTTAAAATTAACTAAAACGTTATAGAGTAAACCCCTCTGAGCCTTTATTTATAATCCAATTTTGTCAAATTTTCAGGAAATACCAAATAACAGAACTTAGGGTAGAAAAATCTTGAATTTTTGTAAAACTTATGTTTCAATGTTTAAAAGTAATTAAAAAAAAATATTTACGTGCCATTCTCTATTAAATCTATGAAAATTTGCTGCTTTCTCTTTTAATATCCACTGGATTTTAAATGGGAACATTTCCCACCTTTTTTCTTAAACGTCTCTCTAGACATTTAAAGCTCTCATTATTCTCAAAGCATATAATATTGCAAAGAACTCTCAGTGGCGCATATATAAATACAATTTTATATTAGAAAATTGTTAAAACATTTTTGCTTTCGCAAGAAGTACGGTTTGCTCTTAAATGCTAAGAAGCATTATTTATACATTTTTTTCATGCATTATAATGAATTTTCAATTTTGTTTTTAGGCCGTCACATCAAAACGTGCTGCTATCCGAGCTAAGACAGCATAGAGACCTTTGAAATATTGCAATACAATAAATCAATTGAAATATTCGGAAATAGACATTTCTAAGAGTGCTACAAAATAGGTGTTGTATGTGTTATATAATTTGTACCATAAAATCTAGCTGAATTGTTACATAAAACTAACAATCTTATATCAACAATTTTAATTATATAACTTTTTTATTAATAATTATTAAATTTTAATAAACAGTATGAAAATATGTACTTTTTTTAATTATGCCTTCTTAAAATGATTAAAGATTTAATAGGCTGTTTTAAAAAATCAATTTGGAATAAGTGGTCAGAATACTGGACAGGGTCCAATACCGATGTCACCTTCTTTAAATTTCCTGCGATTAATAGAAAAAATAAAATTATAATATGAAGGTTATGGATAGGTCATACAAGACTCGCCCATGGCTACTTAATGGCGTCTGATAATCCACCCTTCTGTCAATATTGCGTTAACACCAATCTTACTATACCAACCCGTATAATTTAATTTATTTTTTAGAAATTAAAATGCATTTACTATATTTCATCGTGTCATGTCAATAACTATAGCTGTTGAGACACATTAATTGTTAAATAAAACAAAAATGATTAAATGATTGAAACGTAAAACTCTTGGTCTTTTATGGATTAGATGTGTACTAACTTTAACAATAATTATAATATATAAATATGATGATTATCCTAAAATTATTTATAATTTGGAAAAGGATATAATTCCTAACTCAAATGTGGTGACCAAGATGTAAAATAAAGCACATGGCTTTGAGTTTGTTTGCGGGGAACCGCTAATTTGCTGTAAGGATTCGCTATCTTTTAATTTTATAGCAGAAACAGGCAAAAAATGGACTGTTTCTTTTGCTGACTTTTTATTTTCAGTAGCCAAGATAAACAAGTAATACAGGATGATAAAAATTGACAAAAAATGATGAACAAATATTATCTTTGCTGGAAAATTATTCTACTTATTCGTATATCATGCAATTTCCTTCTATTTTACTTATTTCTCATAAATCACTCGTCATGCACCATCAAAGACATTGCCACAATCGATATTTGAAATGCTTGATATTTTTGTATTGTCTGTCTTTAACTAATTAGAATATAAATAAAAATATGTGTACGTGAAAAATGAAAATAACTTGTCAACTTCTAGCTTCGTAACTGTCACGGAAGAAGGATAATTTTCATGATTGAAACTTGGCAAATTAAATTTACAATAATTATTATTTCATTGGCTTAGATCTATAATTGCAATAAGTGAGGTGTAAAGTATATAAAAGATCAGAATTTCTTGACACCAAAATAAAATCCCAAGGGTAATTGTGTGGAGACCACTTATGGAACAAAACTATTTTTTTGCATTATTTGAGAAACTTGTTAAAAATGCTCGGTCACGTCAATTTTTATTTCTTATGAACTACATTTTTGTTATAAAACTGTCATACCAGATTTTAACATCTGACTAGATATCTTTGAATATTTTAAATAGCAATAGAGGCGAATTGATAGATGATTTGAAAGAGTTTTAAATTTTATTTATAGTTTTTATTCTTTTTAGGTTATGACCTTATATGATAAGGGGGGATTTAAATATTTCAAATATTCGCTACTTTGAACTAGTTAATATCCCGCAAAATTTTTTAGTCCAAAAGGGCGAATATCTGAAGTATTTAAATTCTATATGCCTACTCCTAGAAAATAAGTAAAAATTATTTTGCTATCAAATAGATAATTAAAAACCCTTTCAAATCACTATTGCAATTTAGAAAATTTAAAACAGGTTGAAATCTGGGATCACATTTTTATAATAATGTTTTATCAAAAAAAAATAAAATACCGCAAAAATGATTTTATTTTATGAGTGGCATCTTACTGTATAAAGTACAAATTTCACACGCAATCTGCTTTCACCTTTCATGGCGTAGAGAGAGAAAGCATGTTTATCTTCGGACATATTTTTCTCATCGACTTAACCGTCTCGTGTTGTCTCTACTATAACTAATTAGAGTTAGTGAGTACGCTACAGAGTTCTTATCTTTATTTTATTTTTAATTTGTTTAATGAACATTGTCGTGCGACGCCTGAAACCGATCCTGTACCCTATTTACCGTACCGCAGAGTCTGGCGTTGGCCATCGCTGCCTGTTTACCTCTAAGACTAGAAAGTAAGTAGAATGTTTCTTTGTATGCAGTCGATGCGTAGAGGAAGCATTTCACGAACGCATCGAGACTTCTACCCAGGACTGACTCCTAGACTATTACAATTTTATATATAAGTGAATTCTTTCGCGGTTAAGTTGAAGTTTGAATATAAATGTTGTTTTAATAGGGGGGTAAACCAGTAACGTCAAATCGTACCCGTATTTCATCTAAAATTGATTTTATATGATTTTAGTGATTTCGCAAAAAATCCTTAATTTTGTGCGATGACCTTTTTTTGGACTATTCCCTTGCCTTTTGATCCACAAGCTGCTGCATTTATATTTTTGAGGGACGAAATGATTTTGAAGTGATTTAGACTATGATTTTTGGAAATTTCTAGAAAATTTGTAGTGAAAACGTACCAGTATTTCGAGAGTGGTTGACCCCTCGCCTTAATTTGTTTTTCTACAAGTGCTTTTCCTCAGTCTCAATATTCGGTAAAGCTGTTATTAAGAACACTTCTATTATTATATAATTATAATAATAATACTCTCCCTAATTTACCCCCTTACGAGTGAATTTTAACCCCAAAAGCTGAGCTTGTGCAGGGAAAGGGACGGCTTTTATTAATATTATTATTTGCCGTGGCGTTCCGGGGCGACTTAAAATTGATAGTGCCATTTGACTTACAGGTGAGGAAAACCTCACCCACCATCATCGAGACGGTAATGCATGGCGATTTTATAATCTGAATGTTATATCAACAGAAACTGAGTTTATATTAATACGGCACACATCAAATCCTATACCGAACCATGCAATTTAATTAAAAATCCACATGGTCCAATGTAGGATCTGAAGCCCCTCTGTCTCTGACCACAAACTTGCCTATAAATGAATATAAGCGCGTAAGACCGCTGAACCACCACTTAATATAGACCAATTAATATCGTCACTTGTTTTTAAAAAGTGTTTGAGTATTGTTTTCAAAGATTGTACGCTCCCACTGCCTCAAGCGAACATGGACTCTATCTCATTGAGATATATCTTTCATAAAACATATCGATGGTCTAATTCTAATACCTCGTAACTGTATGGATCGATATTTTACAGGAGAAACTCTTTTAAGTCTATTGGTGCTAAACATAATTCAGAAGGTTACAACATATTTTTGTATTTTAAAATTGGACTACTAGAAGATAAAATAAAAGTATTTTTTTTTCTAAATTTTTTATTGAATTAAGTAAGATAGACAAAAACAGTATGTAAATATTATGTTTACAAAAAGTATGTGTACAATAAAATCAACTTACCAGTCTCTATAGGCATCCCACAAGGATCAATCCTGGAACCTATACCTTTGTTTTATACAAACGACTTATATTAATGCTAATACTAACTCTTAAGGTGGGATTTTAATTGCATTTAATTTTATTTCCAAATGAATTTGAACTATAAAAGATGAAGACCTAAGATTTGGTAGACATTTTTTAAATAAATCGGAGCATTTGCTGACGCTAATATCAATAATGCAACTTTAAAAACAATAAACATAAAAATTTAAACAGTTAAAAAAAATATTTTTTACGGAGACGAGCAAATAGTCTAATAAACACCAATTACAATTACGTTAAAACCAATTCTCAAATTGATGTAATAACGAAGAAATTTGAGAAATAAAATACAAGCCGAAATTTCAAATAATATACCTTCTTTACCAATGATTTTAGTTCACGCATTCGTTGATAGATCAAAAAACAAGCCAGTCGACTTGTTCTTATCATGTATTTCAGACATTCTATTCGGAATACAGTTTAGATCAATTAAATCCAAACAAGATGAAATCTCTACCTATTTAAGACCTGTAATTAAAATAATGGCAACATTGACAAATCACTTTGCACTCTGTATGTATGTATGTCGTCGGCATAACCTTGACAGGGTATGCTAAGGTCAGTCATCAATCTGCATAGAAGTGGGGATAGAACTCCTCCTGGTGGACATCCTCTGGTTGTGTAGATGGATGAATATGTAACTACATATCAGTCTATTAAACGAATAAAACGTTATATCTATTCTATAACGTGTATCGGATCGGTGGCGTAGGTGTCTAACGCGCTCGCATTCATTTGCGAGCAATTTCGTGGTTTAGAGACACTACGGCTTTGAATCCTACAGAAGATCATGTGAATTTATTTGCATGTATGCCGTATTAGCAGAAATTTCTGTTGATATGATATCCAGATTATAAAAATCGCCATGCGTTACCGTTTCGATGATGGTGTAAGTCAAATGGAACCATCAATCGTCTTTAAGTCGCCCCGGAGGCGTAAATAGAAAACTTACTTCAATTCGTCCCCAGGCAGTGACCAACTAGACTAGGGTTTTTATGCGTTAATCCTGCAGAAAACCTACTTGAATATATCATCGGATGGTGCCGTATTGGGGTAGGATTGCGCGTTATTACGCTGCCTAAACATGCAGAAATACTACAGCCCGTGTTTTCTTGCGTGAAGAAAGAAACATGTATTTGCATAGTTTATTAATATTTGTTGTCATACTGTAAATGATTTTTAATATTGAAGGCTATATTATGGGGTTGCTTTTTGGCACCTTAAATGAAATATAGGTATCTTTAGCTCTTCAGCGTGAGGTAGTTGTGGGTTGTTCTTTGGCAAATTACTGTAGATATAAGTATAACTTTCGTCACTTTGACCGTCCATTTTCACGATTCGATAGTCAGTTAATATTGCACTAAGTAATGTTTCAATAGTTTCTTCCATTTTATTGGTAGGGTATATTTTTGTTTATGAACAACCGAATACCGAGCCGCCGCGTGTATTGAACATAACCATTATAAAGACACACTTGCCGTACTAAAATAGCAATTACAGAATATTACGCCGCGTACTCCAATACGGCACCATCCGGGGCCATATTCAAGTAGGTTTTCTGTATGAATAACGCTTAAAACCCCTAGTCTAGTTGGTCACTGCCTGAATAAGGACGTACTGAAGTAGCTTTTCTATTTACGCGACCCTGAGCGCCATAGCAAATAATAATAA